GCAGCAGCATCCAGGCCAGACTGGGGCCCTGCACACGCCATCAGTCCGCCTGCACGGCTGCAATAAATTAATAACAACCAAACAATGTGTCGTGGAGAGGCGGATTCAATTACCAAGTTTATTTACAGGGAAAATCTCATGAAGGCCATTGACCAACGTTAAACAGCGGCGGGATGAAACGATGACAAGAGCTCCGATAAGAATTTAATTCCATCTCATTTCAGACGATTTTATGAATCAAATTCTTGAACACTGGAGAGATTTAATGATCACATCTTTGCGAAATCTTATTTCAGAGCGGGTCGATGGCATTTCTCTGCGTTAATGTCGACTTAGAGGTTGGAGTAATTTAGTAATTGATTCCTTGCCTGGCTCTCGCCCGTGCCAAGGCCGCGTTTGAGGGTAATATGTTTCCTAATCTTATCCCCCGGAATAAGATTTTTATGTTAATCCGCTGGCTGGTCTCTTGGTCACTTGGGAAGCGCAGATAAAGGCTCAGAGGGGCCGGAGAGGCCAGGAGAGACGAGCTGTGCTCTGCAGGAGCTGGAAGCAGCATCTGGAAGACAACGGGACGCGTTAATGCAGGATAACAGGGAGATATTTCACACAACTCAGCCTGTAGTTCATTACATCTAAATAGTTATCTGTAGGTTATGATGAGTAATATTTTAATCCCATAAAGGGGAAATAAAAGGCTAGTAATGCTCACATGCTCATATCAGTTTGATCCCTCAGACATCTTTTATTTTATCATCTTAAATAATCTAGAATAAAACTAAACTACATCTGCAGTCTGGATAAATAAGGACAGGTGGTTTACCTTCCTCCACATTTCTGCCATCACTGCACTGTGGCACAAAACGCCCACAAACACAGAATAAAGACGCATCAGATACAAATACTTCAAACCTGTCCATCACCAGTCTGCACGTATACAGCACACTGAATCCCTGATGTCTTTTGTGCTGCACGTTTTTTTCTTTTCTTTTTTATCTTTTTCTGCAGACACCGAGAGAAGACACAAGCTTCTAATTGAATTTTGCCTCTTCTCCAGATGTCACTTTCCATCTGCGCGCTTGGAAACGCGATGCGCTTTTTACGCGCCAGCCTGGAACACCTTAAAGTCTGGAGCCCCACACTCCACCTCCCCCCTGCCTCTTGATTTTACTTGTTTTGTTATGAGCAGTTTAAGGTCTTACAGAAAAGACAAAACATGGATAAAAATCATTACAGAATATTGAAATTTTTCAAAAAATGGTTTGGTTAAGGCTTTAAGAAAAAGCTCTTTTTCCACCTCCTCTAAAAAATATTTTGCTCGCTAAAGCTCGGCTCTCGCCTTTATCCACCCCGTCAAATTGAGACATCAGACTAAATTGCCATGAGAGCATCCCCAAAATGAATTTTTTATCCGCTTCAGAGCCCCTCCCCTGCAACACGCGGCCTTATTAATAACCGTTTTGATAAGCGTAGGATTTCCTCGGGCGGAGGAGTGAGACATTGTAGGTGAAATGTGACAGCGGGACCCTCCCATCTCTCTCTCTCTCTCTTTATCCTCCTCTGTTTCTTTGCCTTTTCGGGGGAGTGGATCCATCCAATCCATCCAGAGACAATGGCATTTTGTTCCTCTTTTTGTCCCTCCTGTCGACCCGCATTCCTATATTGCTGAGCAACGATAGTGCGCACTAAATGGAGAGGAGTTCCTCCCATATCCCGGCTATTGTCCGGCACTTGCCAGGGGAATTTAGGGTCTTGCACACATCGCATTTTCCTGATTTATTTAAGTGAAGGCATATGGTTCAAGCCCTTTATTCGCCACATAATTACGAATTAACTACCGCTTTACTTGAATTAAAGGATCATTATGTTACTGTAAATCACCGTTTTCGTCCTCTGCTGCTGTTTGGGGAAAGGTGCGTAACACGGAGAGTGTGTGAACCTGCAGCCAGCAGGCCGCTGTGCGTCTGGATAAAAGCTGTCTGCACGTTTTGCATCTTGCGAAAAGCTTAAAAAAAATCATACAAATCAGCTCAGACTACAAAAATCCCGTCTTTCGGATTTAATATTCTCGCGTCAAAATATCAAACGGCGTCTCCTCGTCCCACCCGGCAGCTGAAAGAATTAAAAGATGTTGAAACTATAAAAGAGGAGGCGTTACAATAGCTGGTGGACTATGGCGGAGGGACTATAGACCACAAGAATAAAGAGCGGCTTCAGTGAAAGAAAGCGATGGCTAAAAGCTATAATTGTATTTGCCTCGGCGAAATATCAGAAAAGACTTCTCGTTTCTTTGAGCGTTATTAGATTAATTCCCAGAGATGGTTTCTTTTCTCGCTGCCAGACGCGTGGAGGGAGGACGGTGAACCATTTGGCTCTTTGGTTTCAATAATCAAATTAACCATTTGGTACAACTTTTGGGTCCCAGCTCGTGTGTAGAAAGAGAAAATAAAAAAAGAAAACATTTACATAATAGGCAGCGGGTTGTGTCAAGAAAGAATTAACTTTTTTTTTCTCTCTCTCTCTCTCTCTGCTCTCATTGATCCCTGAGAAGACAATGTACACACGAAAGAAAAGGCAGAAAACACACTGCAACACGTCAGCGATTGTGGAGAGAAAAAATAATTGATGGCAAATGCAGCCGGGGTCTTCTATTTATTTTTTTAAACAGATAATATGTGGAGATGCACCTTTCTGCCGGATGCCTGCATGGACAAAACAAAGCACAATTTATAAAGGTGGTGCCACATGCAACATGAAAATATCCTTTATTTTGATAGAAATAATAATAAAAACAAGTTATATTTTCACTAAAGTGCATTTTCATTTCCAGGAATTTGGTGTCAGTACAGACATGAGGCTTAGTTGTTTTGAAAATTAAAATCTTAACCTGATATTAATTCACAATTTAAGGGCCTCGAGGGGTAAAAATAAAAAAAATAAAAGGTTAAATTTTACGAGTGATCTCCAGCAAACCTTTTATTTGTTCAATATCATCCTAGAAAATGTTATATCTTCTTTAACTATGATGAAAAATAAGATCAATATTGTGATAAAAGTGAGTCTGTGGTGATCAAAAAAAGGATCTATAATAACGTTATAATCATATTTAATAGGTTGTGAGACAAAAGTTTATAATATCCAGAGTCCAGTGTGACAGCACGGACACACAGGATGAAAACTACTGACACACTTCTGCTGCTGAGCATCATATTCCTGTAGTCCCTGCAGAGTTATTATTGGAATATTATAGTGATTCTTTCGATGTGGGGCCACCGCACAGATCAATCACCGAGACAAATTCAAACATCAAACACTCATCTGCTAAATTTAATTGATGCACCATAATTCCTGTTACTCCCTTTTTGTGTTCCGATAATTTGGAAGAGAGAGAGAGAGAGAAAAAAAACGCGCAGCTTCAACGGAGGACTTGAACTCGGTCCAATAGGAGAAGAAAAAAAAAAAAAAGGGGGAAAAAGAAACACATCAGAGTGTGTAAGCGCCATACAAAGCGGCTCACCTTATTACACAAACCAAATTAACCACTCAGCCAATATTGTGAGCCTAAGAGGTCCGATGACTGCCTCGCCAGTTCGTTACTTTCATTAGAAAGATGTTATTTGCCAAATAAACGGAATAATGAAAGTAATAAAGACAATTACAAACTCATTTGAATCATAAAAAAACACACCCTGAAGTTTAGCAGAGATGATGCTGCAGCAGCAGCAGCAGCAGCGCAGGGGAAGAATTGTGTTTATTTGGGAAAGGAGAATATCACATTAAACCCAAGTCTTTTATTACTTTGCGTAAATTGCAAATATGTGGGCGACAATTTCGAGCTTACATTTATTAACTTCAACTTGAGCTGAGACACGGTGAAGAAGCAAAAAAAAAAAATGTCAAAGGCCAGGTGAGAATGTGCTGCAGTGTAATGTTTAAATGAAACGGAGAGGAATCACAACAAAGGGCTCGTTGCGCACAGGTATGGATGCGACTGGTGTGCGTCTATTTGGAGAATAAGGACGTTTGTGCGTTAACATGATATTTTCTAAAGCAGAGAAGGGTGAAAAATCCTCCACCAATATGAAATTATTCACCTGGCTGCATATATGCTCGTTTTCTCTAAATGTGAAACAGGTGCAAATAGTTTTATTAAAGCCACAATAGATCCATTTACCTCAACGCAAAGAAAAAAATAGGATGTTACCACAGATAAAAACGGACATGCTTTAACCGCTCCAGTGCAGAAAATGAGAGTCAAAAACAGTGAGAATAGTCGGAGCAGACGGGCAGAGAGAAGAGGCAGAGGGGGAATACTATGTGAAATCCTGCCCAAGGTATACGGTCGCTTAAAAGGCTTAAAAGCTTGGAGAAAATTGGATCAGGGAGAATCGTCACCCAACTTTCATTATTTCCAAGTGGTGTGATTGAATTAAAGGGCAAGATGGTGGTTGGAGAGGAGTGGGGCGGATGGGTAGAGGGGTGGGCGGCGGCGGCGGTGGTGGAGGGGTGCGTAATGGCGTGGTATTAAATTCTAATTAGAGATGCAGGGGATCAATGATAGGGAGGTTGGACAGCCCGGGCCCCCAGTGCCAGCCCAATAGACTGATGAGTTATTGTCATGTAAAAAAGCGCTAGCAATAAGACCAAACGCTTTGCTATTGTCCAAGCGGAAAGAGCCAAGTTTATTATGAGGACTATATGCTCTAGAGACCTCGGGCTAGGCGGCTCTTAGGGGGCTTTTCATAAAACAGGGCTAGGTTCCTATAAAGGAGGCCAGTTTTGGAGCAGGCGCTGAGCAGTGAACATCTACCCACCGTCCAGCCTTCTTCCAACCAGTTCAAACCAAACAAGTCATCTTTCCCCCCAAAGTCAGACCGCGCGTTCTCCTCATTTTGATTTTTTATTATTTTTTTTCCCTTTCAAGCCCATTTTTTTGGGTGCTTTTGTTTGACTTTTTTTTTTCCAGGGAAGTGCAGCTTTCTCACACTACCGAGCCTTTTCAAATGTATAAAATGGAGTATTCTTACCTAAATTCCTCTGCCTACGAGTCATGTATGGCCGGGATGGACACGTCGAGCTTGGCATCGGCCTATGCGGACTTCAGTTCGTGCAGTCAAGCCAGTGGGTTTCAGTACAATCCCATCAGGACCACTTTCGGGGCCACCTCCGGCTGTCCGTCTCTCACGCCGGGGTCCTGCAGCCTGGGGACCCTGCGGGACCACCAGAGCAGCCCGTACGCCGCAGGTAAGCAGCGGCTCCGGAGCCTCAACCCGGTGTATTATAGGACGCCTTGATTGCATTTGAAAATGGAAATGTGTTTAGTATTTACCAAACGAAATTTGCTTACACAAATGAAAGAATTTATCACGTTAGAAGCGATTGCAGGCAAGCGGTAATTCGGTTACGGGGTTATACTATCCCAGTCACACCCAAAACCGCCAACAGAATTATCTTAAGCTGCCAAAATGATAGGCATAATTTATTTACTTTGCGATGAGACATAAAGCTTCGAAAATAATTAGATAACCAAAGACTAAAGCTCATTATTGACACCGAATTGGAGTTACAGTAGCAACAAGCGGGGCGGATGGGAACATTATGACAAGTTTTCAAACTTGAGCCTCAATCTGAGGAGCAACAATTAGTTTAACATTACAATTAACCGCATCACAGGTCTGCAACGTTATCAATTCTGAACTAATTCACAGGTAATCAAAGGCATAATACAATTGAAAGCTTTAGCCCAGCGCCCTTAACCGGATTTTATACAAAATATCGAATTTGAATTTACTTCCATTTGACAACATCACGATTGCACACCCTCATATCTCCCCATTACTGCACAGATAACACCACCGCACGTCTAACGCTGACATTTCATTCCGTTTACAGTTCCATACAAACTCTTCACGGATCACGGCGGACTGAACGAGAAGAGAAAGCAGAGGCGCATCCGGACCACGTTCACCAGCGCCCAGCTGAAGGAGCTGGAGCGGGTTTTTGCAGAAACACACTACCCGGATATCTACACCAGAGAGGAGCTGGCACTCAAAATCGATCTGACTGAAGCCAGAGTGCAGGTACACAACCGCCGGCACTCGTTACGCACGATTACGCGTAATTACGCACTGGAGGATTTATGATGCAAATAAGAAACATTTTAACGTATTGTTACTAATCACGGTTTTGAAATACATTTTAATGAATCAAAAGCTTTACTGCTTTGACACGATGCACTGCTGACCACCCAGTGTGCTGCCCTGATGCATAAAATAAAGTGGTTTTCCTCAGTTACACAGACATATGTACAGAATCAAGATGATTACGATAACTGGTCTTTTTGGTCCCCCATCTGTATGACAGTTATCTAAAAATTCGATACGACACTAATGGATCATTTTAGTCATTTTTTTGCCACAAACAAACCAAACACAGTCGTGTAACGTGTCGGCTTTCACCTTTTCTCAACTATTCAGGTGTGGTTCCAAAACCGGCGTGCCAAATTCCGCAAGCAGGAGCGCGCAGCTGCAGCAGCCGCAGCGGCTGCCAAGTCCAGTTCTGGAAAGAAGTCCGACTCAAGAGACGAAGACAGCAAAGAGACCAAAACCACCGACCCTGACAGCACAGGAGGACCGGGCCCGAACCCGGTGCCCACCTCCAACTGCGGCGGACCGAGCCCTACCGCAGGCCAAGTCAACACCACCGGGAACGGACAGGTGGACCAAGTGAAGACCTCCGTGTCCACCGGCATGGGAGTGACAGCACCGAGCCAAGGCTGGGCCACCGCACCGGGGACCATCACCTCTATCCCGGACTCATTGGGCGGGCCCTTCGCCAGCGTACTGTCGTCTTTGCAAAGACAGAACGGAGCCAAAGCTACATTAGTAAAGACCAGCATGTTCTAATGAAGCTTCACAGCGGGGAGAGAGAAAAAATACAGAGCAGAGGAAAAGAGATACGTTTCCTCCTTCTGCGGAGACTGAAAAGCAATCGCCCAAGACAGACTTAAGGACAATAAAAAAGCAGTTAGAAAAAAAAGACGACTACTGCTATATTATTTTTACGCCTTGCGCCATTTCTTGTGGTCAGTTTTGCTGTAAAAATATCCATCTTGACAAGTCATACTGTCTTAAAAGTAACACCGTTTGTCTTTTCTTTGAACAAGTGCTAATTGGGTGATATTTCTACTTGTTTCATGACTGAATATCCTAAAAAAAACAAGGTTAAAATAAGGACATTTTCTTTTTTTCTCTCCTGTACTAATACCATCAAAACAAGAAACTTATCATGAGATTTATCATGCGTAAAATCGAAACAAGATGCCACCTCTCATCCCAAACTTGTTGAAAGAAAAATACCGAATACTGGATCAAATGGCTTGTTGAGATGATTATTTTTTTTGTCCAGATTACGAGCAAACACAAACGTGGGCGCTTTGGAAACGCGTAGTGCCATCAGCGAGCAAAAGGAGCCTCGTTTAGTCATATTAAATGTCAGAGATCAACAGCTGCTTTGTTTGGTACAGAGACGTTTAATATCCATGACTGAGGATGCTCTCCCACAAAACCCACCGTGTTGAAACAAGAAATATCCAACGAGACGCTGACGCATTTTCTTTTTCTTTTTGCTTTTTCGTTCTCTATAGACACAACCTGCTGTGTGGAAGTGGCCTCTTACAGCTGTGTTTTTGTTTCTAGGGCTGCTGAGAGTTTAGTTTCTTTAAATTATCGATATAAACACAATTATTTCCTCGAGAAAAAAAGGCACAAACTACTGCAATGTTCACCTCTGACAGGAAATCTGTATGTTTTGTGTGTCTTTCTACGGCAGTGTTTTTGTGGCTCAAATTGTATAGTGTTAATACGTATTATTGTCTCCTATAGTTGAACCATAGGCCATACTCCCTCGTAGATCGATCATACAAGTCTTTTTGATGTTTTACAAAATTCCCTCGGAAGAATTTATTTTGGGTAAAGAAGAAGAAGAAAAAAAAAGGGAATGGATGCAAACATTGTATTTATTTCTATATAATTTGCATGTTGTCTCTTTGTCTGATTTTACAATGATTTCCCTCCCATTTTGTGAGCATTATGTAACATGTTTTGTCCGGGATCTGAAAGTTATTTATATGTAGGTAATGAATGCTTATATTTAAGAAGGAAATATTTCTACATGTGCACATAGTTTTCCAGGTGTACCATTGAAATGATTGTTGATGATAAAAAAAAAAAAAAAAAAAAGCCCATGTTGCTTTTGTCATGTTTTCTTTGGGGGGAAATCGACAGAAGTATCAGTTGTAATTCCTTTTATTTTATTTTATATTTAACCAGTTTGGGCGTCCTAAACCATTTCTTACTTAGCTTTTACACGAATTAGACAAAACGCGCTGATGGTGGTTTGAGGAGGCCGCAGCTTTCAGCACCAAGGACAGCACCGCGACGCTTCGCCGCTCAGTCAAGTGCTCAAGGTTGATTTTTTTATTCGAAAAAAATATTACATAAAAACGTAATTTTAAAATTTAAAGTAGTATTTTATTTTACTGAAATTTCAAAATTAAATAAACAAACAAAAAATCCCTCCAAATGTACTCCTAGAACCTACTATTATTTTAAAATAGGGTTAAATCCAGATCACGTGAGATCTGAATTGGAAACCAGTGGCATTACAATAATCTACTATACACATATTTTTTTTAAAAACATAAATAAACAAAGCTCAGATTTACTTCAAAGATGGTGAATAAGGTGTCTGTGACCGACAAGATTCTCTGACATTGAAGATCAACTGGAGGGCAGATCTACAAAAATACAAATAGTTGGTTTGAGAGATTTGTATTTTGCATTTGGCACAATTTAGAATTAACACCAGAATTCATGATGCTGTATGTGACTGCTTTTCTTTCTTCAACAGGGTGACAGCGTTCAAGGTGTCTCTTCTGCAGATTCATGCCGAAGTCTGTCTCCATTTTTTTGCGTCCTACTACCCAAATCTACCTTTTAAAAAAACATTTTTTTAAAAATCAAACCCACAAAAACAAACCAACAAAAAAACTTCCTTTAATCCAAAATAAGTCCTAAACCCAAACAGGCGAGACAGATTTTTTATTTTGGCAGAATTTAATACAATTTCAAACTGCTATTTATTTTGATTCTTAGTTTTGTTTACTCCTGGGCTACTAAATCAAACATGCTGTTGTTTTAACTGGGTTGCACATGCAAAAGAGGTTTCCAACCGTAGCGGCTGAGTAAAGCAGGAGGGCTGCACAAAGGCAAAAACTATCTGAAGTGGAAACACACACACAGCAAGTTCCTAAAAAACAAGCCTGACTTCTGGTGTCTTCTTTTGCACATTTGCTGAAATAACATTTAAAGCATGTATTCCTGTATTTCTTCAGCTACGTTCAAATTCTTTTTTTTTTGTTTTTGTAAATTTCTGTGAATAATATTGATGGAAAAACAACAACACAGAAGCAGCATTTTAATTTATAACATTTTATTTATAAACATACAGTATGCTATAAATGCCATTGCATTTAAACATCAAATTAATCTATATTTCGGATAGTGTTCAGGTGAATATTACAATAAATACAGAACAGACGTAAAAGGTTTTCATTCCCCAACTATCCTGTTAAGAAGACCGTCTGAATATAGAGCTCCGTCTCAAAGATCCCGCTATAAGAGACTCAGCTGATTCATTAACTAAAAGAGGATAAAAATACACAGTCGTAACAGAACCTTAAAAAATACTGTAGATCAGAGAGATGAACCCGGAGAGAGAAGCTTGGCTATAGGACGCAGTTCAGGAGGAGGAAGAGGAGGACGCTGCTAGTTTGCTTTCATACAGCAAATCATTTGGTTTTAGGCTTAAACGTGCATTTATTTGATCTTTTTTTTCTCTTTTCTTTTTTTTTTTTTAACATCCACAACACATAACGGAGCTCTTCTCATACAAAAGAAGCGAGTGACTTAAAATGTGCAGCTGGCGGCACAGATCTTTAGTTTTCATCCAACCAAATATTGCACAGGTGCAACTGCTGCTGGTATGTGTTCATATTACCTCTGCTGTTTAACTACATGTAACGTGTACTGGTGATCCTTTTTTTTGGTTTTTTTCTCTTTCGTTTTTAAATATCTTTAAATGTATAAATGAATTCTACCACTGAGCAATTATCAAAATTACCTCAATTAATAGCATACAGAAGTCTATATCGCTCTAGAATAAAACATTCAAAATTAAATCAATGGTTTCCCCTGCAGTAAATATACTGTACTCTGTGTGTTCTTTCAAACAGACGACAGCGTATTCCTTTCTTTGCACTTGTTTTTTCACTACAAATCACAGAGGAGTCACAGGGGCGGATATGAAATTAAGTTCCTTGTATCTGAGAAAATAAACAGTACTTATCAACTGAAGTAAAGCGTGATGTGAGGGAGGGCTGCAGCCCGTCCGTCTGCAGTTTGGGAGTTTCAATTTGGCCAAATCCCTCCCCGCACCCAAAAAAAACAAAAAATAAAATAAAATAAAATAAAGAAAGGAAAATTGAAACACCATATAGCTGGTGTTTAGTTTCCTGCATCACCTTGCTTTCCTAAGGCACATTAAAGTCTTCCAAGCTGACAGACCTGACGACGAACAACCTGCTGTGACCCACAAGCACAAAAACAGCTCACAAGTCATGTTATTGCCCTAATGATGAACCTACATCCATACTATGTCTTTATATTAGAAGCTAATTTTATTCTGTACACCGAACGAGAGACATCAGAGGTCACCGAGTGGGCCAAAGGATAAAATATAGTGAATTACAACATCGTGTGTTTGTGTCTACATACGAGGTTTATAGTGACCTTTATTGCACTTTCTATATTAAGCTCATTTTAATCTGTTGCTTCATTGAAGGGGCATTTGTCAGATCCAGCCTGCTAAGAGAAGTTTTATTATCCAATCTGAGCCGCCTGATCATATGTTATTTTTCTCTCCACTATTTTGGAACTCAAATTCAGGAAACGTGATAATATTTTGCCGTTCCATCATTGTAAATATTAAAATATTTTCTCCAACCGGGAAAACAGAATCTGATTCTCCTTAGCCAAGAGTTGAACAGCTCTTTTTGCGTTCATTGTGACGGTACAGGGCATCAGCATAGCCTACCTGTGTTATTCTGTTCTCTTTTCAACATGGCCGTCGCCTCAGAACACTCTCTCTCTCTCTCTCTCTCTCTCTCTCTTTCTCTCTTGCTGCATGATGAAACACAGTTTGTGGTGGCATGAGGACCAATCAAATCCACATTTCACTCACATATCAGATGACATAAACACGAGAAATATACTTTTTTTCTTTTTTTTTTAAACGCGCGATTGTCCCCAGATCCCCGTTTGGCCCACATGATGAATCTTCAATGGTTATCGAGCTGAAGAGGATGCAAAGATCCCGACACGCTGTGAAGGACATGATTTGCAGATAATCGGGTTAAAACAGGGATGGGGTTTCTTCCTTGAACCTTGTGCTTTTTAGTCGAGCGTCACAATGTGGTTGGCTGTCCGGCCGCTTGATAGGAAAGAGAGGAAAAGAGAAGGAAAACCATGATTTTCTTTTATAAACCACAAGTGTTTTCCTGGGATTTTAAGTTCAAGGACATGCAGCTGCAGTGAAAGAAACCCTTCTTAATTTGAGATAAAGACTCAAAGGAGTCTCTTGATAGAGGCTCTGATTTGATTTGGTGGTTTACTGATCCCCAAATGATAAACGGCTGCTGAGAGGTTATTGAAACACGAGCGGCGTTGCTTAGAAGGCACAAACTTTTGCTGTTGTGCAGTAAAGGTGAAAGGGACGGAAAGTTACCGTCATCCTCTCCCAAACGCAGCATCACCGGTGTCTCTCCTCCTACCTGCACCATGATGCAGACTCAGTGTGTCTGACACGTCTTTATTAAGGCTGCACTGGCCAGGATTTCCACATTAAAACACACTTTGTCTTATCAGCCTCACAGTGGGGGCTGCAATAAAGAGTCCAGGTTTGGAAATATACAGTTTAAAAAAAAATTAAAAATCACAAAACAGTGTCACTTTGAAAACAGTAAATGAAAATAACCTTTGTGCATTTTTCAGCCTGGTTCATGAGCTCTGTATTTAGTTATATTATTAAAAATTGCATTTATTAATCTGTGCAAATATGAAATATAGCCAACATTACCAAACAAAAAGAGAGAATAATACCTATCCTTCTTTCTAATTTTATAAAGTGATTATAAGTTCTCTCTTTGTGAGGGGGATGTTCAGTGAGTCATTTATTTCACGTGTTTTTTAAGATAATGGTTGATTTGCTTGGAGAAGAACCTGACCGCAGTCATACATGTTGCTAACGGATGAATAGAAACACTGCTAGAGACAGAGTAGAACTGGAGGAATAAACAGAAGCAGGACAGTGTTATGTTAAGAGAGGAGGACATGGTGGAGGGGGTGGGGGGACTCACAGCGGGAGCGGATGTAGCACTGGTGGCAGTTGAGGAGGCCGTTTCTGATCCGGACATCCGTCCCCGTAGTTGTGTCGCCTAACTGTCCTTTACACACCCCACACTGAGGAGAGAGACACAAACAGAGGGCATTAAGACTCGCTATTCACTACTTAGCTGTTTTTTTTAGGTGTATTTTAAGGATAAAGCTGGTTTTATTCTGTTCCCACAAATCCCACAGAGAGACTAAAACGATACTTTAGGCTCTTAAACTAAATCTTAGCGATGAACCACACAAACAAGGCTGTAGATTCTGTTTGAACATTGTAGGAGACACATCAAGCGAAGGGTCTGAGGGTTCTACAAATACTTCAATTCCTCCACTCTGGTGAATTTAACAATTTGTGCTTCCTCTACATGCACCTGTATCGCCGTGCCTGCAGTCCACTGCTTGCTCCACATGTTTATTAGAGCAGTGGAGGGAAACAACTGCATGTGTTGTAAATATTGAGGGCGGCGTTTGCCCTGTTCTCACTGAAATCTCTGCAGGGACATTTATAAAGCCTGAATAATTACCCTAAACAACTGGTGCTGTAGTTTTTAGGAGACATTACTCAAAAAATGCATTTATTGGGGACTATCTTCAGCTGCGAATTAATAAATATTTGGTAAGCTAGCGGGTATTTCCAGCAGCAGGACAGTTCAAGTAATCAAAATAAACAATAGTGTGGGCCACTGATGTAATTCTCATATATTTTGCATAATAATTGAGCTCTAAGTCACAAACTGGATACAGAGAAAATACTGTTAATGTTGCTTGTTTTTTTTTGTAGATTTGTAGACAGTAAGTACAATCACAAAAATACCACTCATGTCATCCTTTAACACAGCTCACTGTTGAGCATTCATGCTTCTGGTGGATGCTGCATAAGATGCACAAAAAGAAATAAAGCTGAGAACGAGTCTTTGACAACAAAAAGCACTTTTGGAGGACGAGCGCTCTCTTCATCACCAACCTTAAAGCAGTGGATGTGGAAGTAGAGGCTGAGGGTCTCTATGATCATGGCGGCCCCTTTCCCTAATGGCTGACCACAGCTGGAGCACAGCTTCTTCCCACTGACAGACCTACAGGAGAGAGACAGACTGTAAATGATGTTCAATACATGTCTCTTTCTGTTACGGAAGTGAGGCAACAAGAAAACAAGAAAAACAGGGTTAATAGTTGGATCCTTTGTCAGTGTTTTGTCAAATTGGAAAAATTATAAACACTGCTGATCAACCAGCACTGCTCACATGCAAAACATCCAGATGCTGACCTAAATATTAGATGTCATATCCTACGTTTTAACTTCACCTGATCTACATCTGTGTTCTAATGGATGCTCATCACGCTCTGTGTGTTTGCTCTCTGCATAGCCAACACTGTATGCAGCACTCCATCACTGATAGCATTCTTTATGTTTTCTGCTCTCCACTTTTCTTGTGCCATTTTTCATTCATGATCCTAATTATATTTTAATAACATGTGATCTTGGAAGGCACATTTGCAGCAGCGTCTGCGATTGTGCTCCCTGTGGAATGAAGAAACATAAAGTTAATAAATAAACCTCCACTTCCCTGCGACTCCACCTTCCTTTTATTACACTGAAATTCCGAGCAGGTTGGAAGGTCCTTGCTGCAGTGGTACATGTTATGAGATGGGTGGGGAAATGTGGGCAGTGAAGCAGAAAATGACAATGCAGAAATGAACGGCAGCCTCCCCTCCCTCCGCGCCGGCTGCTTGTGATGCAATACCTGTTGGGTGCTGGAGGCAGTGTGTCTGACGGTGATGGACATGCTGCGGGGGGCTTCGATGAGCCGCGGCCCATGTTATTATCAATGGGGCCGCTCCTGGAAATGGACAGCAACATGAAACACGATGATGACGCACAGATACAGCCACACCATTGGCCAACCCGGTCAGACAAGAACCAATCAAAGAAAGAGCAACAGTCAAATCTACTCAGAGATGTTTAGGCAGATGCAAGCTTAGTTTAACCTTTAAAATGTAGTTTCATGTGTTGCTATCATGTTTGATCCTTATGATAGTGTTTAGAATACTTTTGTCTTGGCCTGCAATGATGTTACTTTCCCTTGAGGAGGACTAAAGACGAAAATACAGGTGCAAGATGCCACCTGCTGGCCAAACAGCGTCACTGTAGCTTTTGTAAAAACCCACAGAGCACTGCTGGTTCCTGGTGTTTTTACACCAGGGATGACATGGAGAAAAAAAAGACTGAGGAACATTTTGAATTTTTTTTAAAACGCTAAAACAGAAAAAAAAAATGAACATGTGGAAATAAAACTGTGTTTGGGGACATGACATTAGCACATTAATATAAACAGCTGTGAGACATTTTTTAACAGAAAATATTTAAGAATCATGTGTCAGAACAGCTTCTTTGTTTTAACAGAAAAAGCATGTGCATAACACCACTTCTAAAAAAAAAATAAAATCTCCATAATGGGTTTTTGGGGCCCATGTTTCTGATGCACGGTGACAAGAGGTTTTAAATCCACCTCCATGTGTCGGTGGAACTCAAGAATAAGTTGCAGACCACCAATATTCAATATATAACATCGCAGAACCTGGACTAAGGCCATCAGTTCTCTCACGCACCACATTCACACACCTTCGATCTCCTGCAGGCCGGCTGGGTCTGTTACTGTCTGCTGTGGGCTCCTGTTGTTTCTTGACTGGAGTTGAGGATTTGGTCGCCATTGGAGGAAGCTTTTGGCCGTTCTGAAGGCTGTGAGCGAGCACCTCTACCTGACTGCTGCTCTGACTCACCGAGCTGGTGATTGCACAAAGAGAAACGTCAAACATACACTTCAGTACACAGCTAAGATTAAGAGGCAAAACAAAATACTACACCAAATTATTCATACAAAAGACTAACGAACACAGAAATTAGCAAGATTTTAATTTCACATTTTCATGTATATTCATCCACCATGTTGGCAGATCTTTTCCAAATTCACGGGGTATTACTAATAAATATCCCTGCACACATAAAGCAGCTCTCAAATCAAAAACTGAACTTTCCAACTAATTGTCATGCCGCTGTGTTAGAGTAAAGTTCTTGTACTTAGGGTCAAATACAGAAGTGTTTTGGTAAGCCAGACTTCTGAATGTTATTGTAAACTGTAGTGGATTCATAACTTCTGCTAAAATGCAGCATTTACTGCATTGAGACAGTGTTCACCAACCTCCTGCCCGTTTTCATGCTGTCGTCAGCGGTGCTGATGTCACTGGTCCTGTCGTTTTCTCTCCGTTTCCATTCTACGCTCTCTGTGCTCGGCCTCTGTCAACCAATCAGAAACAGTCAACAGTTAGTTCAACAGCTCACATGTCGACTTATGTGACTTTCAAGGACAACACTATTAATTTTATATAATACTTTATACTGTTAAGACCAAAACCACTGACACATTGATTCAACTATCAGGTGTCGTCTGTGTCCAAAGCCTTGTTTAGCTCATTCCTCTCCACTCATGTTGAATATAAAACAGCAGTGACACACATGATTACACTGGGTGACTGATTTCTTTATCACAAAAATACAGGTACTCTAGATTACTTGCAGTCTTTGCAACAGGTTAATATTAAAAAGTTAAGCGCTCTGTACATGGTTGTGGCAACTTCCGGATTCACTTTCCTCTTTGGGATTCTGCATTATGCTGTCAGTATATTGTGTCCAGCTGGAGGAAAATCTCCAACACTCTGGGCCTCAGGTGTCTGAAGAAGTCACAGTGTTGTTCTACAGATTAGATTCTTCCTTGGCTCTCATATCACTCCTTAGTTCTCCGATAGGGGTTCTCAGGGCCTTGAAAATACTGGCTGCGGTAATGTCAGCTGCTGCCTGCACTCGTTTGTCCTTCTCCTGTATGTCCGTACTCTGACTCACACAAGTGTGGTTCCCTGCATCCATCACATCTGACAGTTTATTTTCGTGAAACAAATATTCGTATTTGTTGTATTGATTGGACTCAACTTTGCAAAGCTGACAGTTAACTTCAGCCCAAAGTCGACAGGTTGTAACGAGCTCATGTGTGACTGCCTGAGCATGTACAATCATCTGTCTGCTAGAAAATACTCTGGTATTGGTCTGTAAGACCTATTTTTAAATAAACTAAAGTGCCCATATTTTTTGTAAGAAAACCATGTTACCCAGTGTGCTGATGCAGCTCAGTGTGGAGTGAGGAATAAGCTAAATCAGGCTTAGGTTAGGTTAGTTGACTTTATCAACAATAAAGAAAATATAAAAAGTCGCCACTGTTAGTCTTTGTCTATACACCCCTCCCTAACTTATCGAGTAAGAAAGCACACATCTAACAATCTAATATCAATGAGCTATTCACCGACTGCCTCTCCAGCAGCTCCTGTTTGCGTTCCCAGTCAGCCAGCGAGCGGACGATAGTGTCCTGAGGTTCAGAGGTGGAGGAGAACTCCCCTCGGCTGGGGGAGGGCAGGGCTGAGGAGCGGGGGGTCAGAGGTGCCACAGTTTCCTCCAGTATCCTACGCTCCTGTTGTAATGACAGTAAATTATAAACCACACGAGTATGAGATACGACTAGCAATAAGAAACAACACATTACTTTTGGCTCTCAAACGCATAAATGCAGAACTTCTTACAGTCCAAACCTATGCAGAATTTCAAGCATATCAAAAAGTATTTATAAAAAAACATCACAGATGCAACATGTACCCTGAAGCACACAAACACACCTCCTCGTGGTACTTCCTCTCCTCCTCTGCCACCTCCTTCTGTGCTTTCTCCCACTCCTCTTTCAGCTTCTCCTGCTCCCGCTGGTACTTCTCCTGTTACCATGGCAACAGACACATGACATACAGCACAGAGCCTCAACAAAGAGGAAGACTAAACTGTCTGCAGCTGGATATTCTGACACATCTGGCATCGAAAGAGTTTTTCAGAGATTGTCAAAAAGGCTTCATTTTTCTTCTGTCATCGATGAAATTCTCTCCAACTGCACCCTGATTAATGTAGTCCAAGGAGGGACGGAGCTGAGGTAGACTGCTCATGATTTACACACGGAACTTCATCAGCATGTATTTTAAATATCATCCTTGATTTGTAGACGTAAATGGAGGCAAAGCTTCCTGTCTGTTATGGCTAAACACTTGCTCAGATTTGATCTTAAGGGATAAAAAGCAAACAAAAGAGAGCAAAAGCAGGCAGTGCAGACAAAGGGCAAAAGCAGAACATGCAGGAAGCATTAAGCACAGGGCTCCTACACACTTCATTTCAAAAGCTGTCTTTAATTTTTCCCAATTCATGATTTTCTTATGCACACCACACAAAGACAGCATTCCTCTGATACGTAAGATTACTTTTTTCAGACTTGTGTAGGAACCCCAAACGAAAGACACATTTAAAGGTTGAATATTTAGAGGGAAGCAGAGACACACACAGAAACAACCAGGGAGGCAGGTAATGAGCACACTGATGCACCAGACATTCATCCATTTGAGGGCATCTCATCTCAAACAGTCCTGCAACAACTGGAGAGAAAACAAATCCGCTCTCGTGTTTCTCGCTGTTTCAAGTTTTGTTAATCCAGAAACCACCATAGACGAGTACAGTGAGTCGTGGACACCAGTGAATCTGTTAAATGTTCAGAAATACGTGGACTGGAGATGCACCTGTTACTGGTTGAGGAGAGAGAGGGTGATTAGGGCAGCAGCAACAGCAGCAACCTTGGACCAAGTCCTTGCCTCTGTATGTGCATGAGATGGACAGTGAGGGAATAAAACCAAAACAGAGGTTCTTCCACTGCACAAAATCACCATCTAGTGGTTGAAGTGTGCATAGAGGCAGCTGGGGTGTGCCTTTAGAGGAGGATGTGCTCGATATAAAACAAATATGGAGGCAAGCTTTGGAAGTAGCAGTGAAATGTAGGTAATCCTTCTGATTGTAAGCTGAGCAAGTCAGTGACTGTCGTACAGAAGCTTATAACAGAACTGGGTGGTTTGGGTGTATTTTTGGGGTTTGGTCAGCAGCAAAATGTCCAATTCCATGGTTTTAGTGGGATGCAGCTTAACATACGTTTAGACTACAGATAAGTGAACAGTATTCAGTATCGCAACATTTAATTATGACCTGCTACATACTGAAATATAGGCAATGAGCTGTCGTTCTATGTAACCTCGATGTTTAAAAGACATTAACTTTACAAGATAACTCAGCTCAGTTTACAATGTGTGCACAACTATTAGGCAAACTGTATTCCTCAGGATTCATTTTATTGTTGAACAAACAGGATGTTCTCAGTCAACCAAAGTTTTATTGAACCTCAAAATTGAACATTTATGGAAAAACGTTTTGTCTTTCTCAGGGGAATATATGAGCACACAATTATTAGGCAAGGAAATTATGATCATTTTTCCAAATTCACTTGGTTATTTAAAAGTTTTACAGTAAATGTAACCAATAAAAATCCCAAATGAGCACCTAAATAATAATTTTGGCATTTCAAAACACTCCATTTTTTCATAACTGTCAGTTTGTCGATCTTTTCAACTTTCATCAAAGCAGAAACCTCACCGTCCCAGTGCTGTTCAGAGAGGAATATTGTCTTTCCTCACTGTAAATCTCAATTTTGAGAACAGTATACAAGTTATCACTTAGGATTTAAGTCAGGTGAGCCCATCTTTGCGCGTACTGAGAATACTCATTTGCCGAATAGCTGTGCACACAATGTGAAGCCAAAAGTCTCCAAATCCTCACGCAAATCACCCAAACAATGCTTACTGGGATAACAATGTGTTGTTTATGCACTGACTCATGCGTAGCTTTGTTAACAAGTCATCCCTGCCTGCCAACACACTGAAGTTGCTTTAAAGCGACTTTGACCGAAATTCAGTCAGTGCAGGTTTTTCTAGTGACTTGCTGGAAAAAAACCGAGATGCATCATAAATTAAAGGCCAACCACGAGAACAAGCCTCTGTTCTAGTCTGTATTTTGCTGAAGGTTTTATAAGGCGTATGATTATCCGCTACTACATCTGCTGGCACAAATCCTCAAAAGCCCTTTTTATCTCTAAGACATTCACACCAGTTTTTTTTCTGCTCTCAACACATAAAAATGTAATGAGTTTTGTTATACCTGTCTCATTAAAACCTCACAAAAGACGCACTTAGTCCTCAATTGCTAAATAAACTGCCAAACTAGGCTCATAAAGCTTTATGCACTGATTGTGGAACTTTATAGCTGAACCTGTGGACCAGCTACGTGTCTGAATAGCACACATAAAAATATCTTATCCAGTTTGTGACAAGAGTGTGAGGCCTCAAAATTAGCCAGCTTCAGACGTTCATTTAACATGATCTACCTCAACCAATTATTTCTTGCGCTAGAACTTGTTTGTACATGCAGCTGCTGATACACAGAACATTTTTACAGCTGGAAGTCACACTGCTGGTGCTCGGCTCTGCCCACTGAGCTCCATGACAAAGCGGACCGCTAACCTTGCAGACTCATGCGCCATGCTTTACCCTTCAAGGTATATTGTGTACCTGCAGCATGCGCTCCTGCTCTTGCTGCCACCTTTCCTGACGCTTTCGCTCCTCATCCGGGTCCCAAGACCAGCGGTCACCCCGCTTGGCCTGGGGCAACACCGGCACTGACACCTGATAGACCCCAACACACACACATACACACACACACACACACACACCACACCACACACATCAACATGCACAAATACACACAAATATTCATGCACACATTCGCACCCACCCACGACCCATTCACGCACAGACCAACACCAATGTGCACACACATCCACCACAAAAAAGAAGAAGAGAAGGGAGGAGACAGAAATAGTTGGTCTACCACAACAGCACTACTCCAATGCTAGCCAAAGGACTCCTACTAAGGAGAGAGAAGACAGAGAAAGAGAGAGATGAGCTAAAATGAAAATAAGCAGTATCGGCCATCGACTACAGCATCCTCATCTGGCATGCTACATCAACAGCTCTGTGTGTCCTACAACCATTAGCTGAGTGTCCTGCAGAATGACGCAGCAAGTTCACTTTGAGCTGAAACTGCGCTAAAACTGAATGCTTAACGATCACATAATTAGATTACAAGATACATTTATGTCTATTAAGCACTGGGTATATCTTATTTTGACTATGCACTTTGTGAAAGAGTGGGAACACTGCAGATGAAGGTTTTTGTGTCAGGCGATTTTTTAATCTCCCTCAAGATTTTTTAAAAATCTTACCTGTGTTTGTTTCCCTTTTTTTCTCCATTACACTAAACTAGTGGTACCCACTGCACTACAGGAGGTCACAAGCCAGATGAGAAGCAATAAAAGAGCGTTTCAGTCAAATGATTTACTCACATTTCCACGTCGATCCTTCTCTGCGTCTTCTGTAGAGTAAGGGAACAGGAGTTAATGCACAACTTTTTGGTGCAGGCGTTCAAACTAAATCACAGTAATGGGATAAATATTCATTAAAATGACAACACATCATGTGCTGGTTTGACAACCTGAGGAGTGAAAATGCGTATGAAAGAAAACAAAGACAGAGCTGAGTAGAAGAAAACTGAAGTCCACCAAAAGCAACAGACCACATCGAGAGTTAATCAGTAAGTTAGTTGTTGTTAAAAGTTGTCTTCATGTTTGGATGGATTTGGCTCTCGAAGGTTAGACGTGATTCACACTGTTAAAGTCGATCTAATGGAGCCAGATGTTGGACGAGGGGGATCAAAAAGATCTGGGACTGTGCTCATAAACAGCAAGACTGACGTGTTTTATGAACGAAGAGCAAAAAATAGAACATAAAGCAATAAGAAAAACAAAAAAACTGCAGACCGACTACAATTACAATTGTATGTTCTATTTAATGAACATGTTGCTTGACTATATTTCTTTGACTTTAGCTGCAGCTGAGTACAAAATATAACACCAGAGTTCATAGCGATAAGTAGGTTGACACTCATATTTCATAGAAGGCTACATGTATGTGTGTACGACTTTAAATATTTCTCAGAAGAAGAACCAACATGATCTTTAAACAATATGAGAAGTTTAAAATGTAATACAGGCTAAAAACAGAGCAAACAGAGCAAAAAAACAGAGAAAACTTCATTAATATACTTCTCAATATCGCTGTTCTTTTGTGTGTAAGTTGCTTAGATGTAGGTCTCATATTCAAAATTCAAGAGTCAGTTTAATTACCACTATGCATAACAAGATCGTACAGCAAAATTACAGACGTAGCCCGTTTATGTTACTCACAAAAAGACAAATTATTTAATGATTAAATAAAGCAGTAATAAAAATCTATTTTTATAGTGATGGGGATGATTACTTCCGTAATCTTACATTAACTCTCATTCCTTTGGCTGTAGGACACTTTTAGTTTTATTCTTTTAGCGGCTTAAACGGTTTTGGGAGCGAGTGAAGAACAAATGTAAAATTGTCATTCAAATCGATAAACAGGCTTACTGCCAATTACATAAGATCAACAATCAGGCTGTAAGGCTTTTCGTTTCAGGATGATATTGTTCTACAATGGCAGATAGAACAATAAAATGTCTTTGAAATCGCTTGCAGCTCTAAAAACTCATATCTTCTCCTCTCATTATCTGTGCATCGAGCACCGCTGGATCTTCTCATGCTGAGGACATTTTCCGAGAGAGCTGATTGGTCAGTAGGAGGTGCTTTTATATGCGCTGATCTCTTATGTGGAACATAACCTGCAGCATGCTCATTTTCTTCAACATTACATGGTTGGGAACCATTAATTATTTCCCCCAAATCAAGGCAGAGATTTACTGTAACATCGTGGTTATGTATGTGTTTTTTTTGGTCACAGCTCTTTCCACTTTCAAGCAGCAGGGTCGCTGTTTTGATACAGTTTAGGAGATTCAGTGCCTGACATGTCTACATAAGGAAGGCTGTCTACAACGTTTTTGATTCTCATAAGCACAGTCTTGGAACTTTGTGATCCAAGTTTTGGTAGAAATGACAAAAAAAGAGAAGTATAACTCAGTTATATCACCGATTTATACATATAGCCTGATCATCTTAACAGATTGTCAAAGGTGACCTATTTCATGACTATCTTTTAAAAGACCTTATAACAGAGCATCCTAACCAACATGAAGACAAAATGAAAATGAAGCAGTCTTACAACACGCTGATGAGCCAACAACTCTGCACTGGTTTTACTGTGCATAGTTGCAGCACAAATGGGAAACATCAAAACACATTTAAAACTGTAAGAAAATATCACTGATCATTCACAAGACTTTGGAAATGAAGGAATAAACAAGGAATGTGACTGGAGGACTGCTGTCCAGCCGTCTGGGAAACGACAGGGGAACCCTGTGCATCAGCACTCGAGGGAGGAACATGATCTTCATGAATGGAGGAGTTTACCTGACGGAGCGAAGAACTCCCAACGTAACTTAGGGTTGCTGGTTGCCAGCGGAGACCTGACACTGATTTCAAACTCTATATCGAAATAAAAACATATGTGGGTGGAAGGAAAAGAGGGAATTTGGGTTGGAAGGGAAGGAGGGAGGGAAACGATGGGGGATAGACAGATGTCAAAACCAGGAGCTGGGATGGACATCGAGAGAATCAGAGAAATCAAAATGAAGACGGCTTTCAAAATGTTGCTCCTGTGATACTGTGGGTTGGAGGAATGGCACCTGGATTATTGATTTTTAGTCTTTAAAAAGGTTCCAATCCAGATCTTTACAAAAAAGTTCATGTGCTTTTCTACCTGACAAGAAGTTCAAACCTAATGTGAGGGCAAAAAAGTCAAAACGAAGACAAAAAAAACCTAACGAACATTGTTTTTGGTGCCCTATTTGGTAAGATAACACTTTGTTTCCTGTATACATGCTTGTATCGGCTCTCTGACTTTATTAGCTTGTGTGTTCATCTCCTTTGTGAAATCTAAAAGGGAACCTAATTATAAGCGTCATTCAAAAATCGTTTAAAATCACGTCAGGAGATATGAAGTGAAGTAAGGCGCCATGCCAGCTGCCAATATAGGCTCAGAATGAACACACATTTTTGGAATGCTTTTTCAATTACAACAGCAGAACGTAAAAGTGCCGTGTCGAAAGGCAAAAAGAAAACAGCCACATAGGGATATGCTAATAAACTCAGAAAACAAGGAGATGTATGGAAAAGAAGCTGCGAGCTTGGTGCGTGGATGTTAGACGACACTCACCTTCTGTTGTTTCCCTCACTTGGTGATATTCAAATGATTCTGGTGCAGATGAGCTCGGTGCCATCTCTGCTTTCTGCGACTGCTCTTGGGAACAGGGAACTCCTGCCTGCAGGTAGATTGACGATTATTCATTGAACAGATGGTTGATGTTTTGACTTGGACATGCTAGGTGACAAAGATTTTGATTATTTTTCTCAAAAGTCTTACCTGGGAAGTATCTGTTGGATTCTGCTGTGTGGTGACCCCTGACTGGACAAGGTTGGAGGGGTTTTCCCGAGATGCTTCAGGCTTTTCTTGTTCTTGTTTGGCTTCTGACAGCAAACAACAAAATGTTAATATCTGCAGATCATACATTTCTCCATGTTTTTAAGACTTGCCGTAACATGCGTCTACTGTAAAAGCAGCCACAAGGTGTCAGCATAGCAGCACACTGCTCAGACCTGCAGGTGGTGTTTGATGAGCTGCAGCATTTGACTTTTCTTTCTCTGGAACAGCAGCTGTCTGGACTCCTGTCTTCACAAAGCTTTCCTCTGGCTTCTGGAGCTCCTGTAATGGTCACACATGGTTTTCCAAACGAATGATAAACTTAAATCTGCAGATCAAGAGCCATTTTGGCAAAAGGTGCATATTTAATAAATCACATTTTAGATTAAACAAAAAAAGTGTAAGTAATAGTAATATTTGGCCAAAAAAACTGCAAGACGTGATGATGCTGGTAAAGACAAAGAGTTGATTACAGCACTAGTGGTGAATCCTGCATATGGTATGTAAACGAGTCACACACTGTTTTAAGAAGAACGGAAAGTATGCAGAGGAAAGTAATGCACTTGTGTTCCTAATGAATGATTTATGCTGCAAAGTTGTGAGATTTAAATCTCTGTCCACTCAGAAAACAAAAGTGCTTATAAATCTGTGGACATTTTTTTTCCACATTGTAAAAGAAAATCCGTTAGATTTAAGGTTTTATTGTTAAATTTAATTGTAAATAACTAAGAAAGATGGTCCTTCTGACCGTGGGGAGCGAGGTTGGCCGGCTGGGTGGTGTCGAATGCTCAGTGACTTTCTCCACTCGGACGTCCTCAGAACTTGCTTCTGTGCCAGCTTGTGTCTCCTTCGTCTTTGGTGACCCTGGAGCTCCTCCTGCAGCGGAGGCGTGTACACTGTGAGCAGGTGAGGCCGCTGACGAGGGAGCATCTACAGCACTGTTACTGGTTTTAGAAGGGGATGCTTGGAAACGAGGAGGAGATTCCCTTCCTCTCTGGCTCTCTGGCGTGGTGGGAACGTCGTCATTTCTGACGTCGCCGTTTACTCGAAGCAAACCATCCGCCTGGATCGAAAGAGAAAAAAGTTAATGTTTGGTTAGCTATATGCACTGCACACAGCCTGTGGAGTTTAAGAAAGATGCTTCAAACAGATCTTTTGTCATCTCAAAGCACTTCACGTGTTGCCAGTATTATAGGGAGAAATGAACCCTGTCTCACTAGTAACTCCTCGTGTACTGCTGCTTGTTCAGGACCCCTTGGCATCACATTTGAACGCCGTGGGCACCCTTTAGCATCATTTTTCAATACACAACTATTCCAATAGACTGTGAAGGTAAGAAATAGACGATATAAGTCCATAGCAAAATGGTCTCTGCTGGTATCGTCACTGTTGCTCGTTTTTAGGTAATTTTGGCACGCAACATGTGTCTAATGTTGTGAAAGGATGTGTTTTATTAGAAACCATGATCATTGTCTAACTGTAACCAAGCAGTGGTTGGAGTGAAAACAAGACTTAAGTGACAAAATAAAATGAAACTAAGACTCTGAGTCTATTGGCACCAAATATTGACGCATGTGTCAGTGATCCAAAAGACTCCTTGGACTTATCTCTTAGATGCTACTGGCGCTGACAAATTGGGAGTATTTGACTCCCTCAAAAAGACAACTGTTTGGAGAAACCCAGCAGTTCCCCTGTAAGCACACATTTGATGAAACTTAGGAAAAAACTCTCTTTTAATGGCAAGAAACCTCAGATAGAACATGCTTCAGGGTGGTTGGATATCGACCACAATTCATTCCAAGACAAATTTCATGTAGACTTTTTAAACACATCAATGCGTAAACACTTCTGTAATTGCACTTCTGGAGGTTGCCCTCATTATGTATTAACATTGTGGACAGACTGACTTTTCTTTTGATGAATGTTTTAGCTATTCTCAGTTTAATGATATTTATTTACTGAAAATTAAGCAGATGATTTGTTAAATTCAGTTCATTTTCCATCCATACAAGATATACATGGCAAAGGTGGTTTAACATCTGGCTATTTGTATAAAACATCTGGGGGAATGACTTGTCTGAATTTCAGCTACAATCAGGCTGTTCTATCTTTAAAAAAACAATAAAAATACAGAACATCAATTGGTGATAAATTCATCCATCCATCCATTATCTATACACCTCTTACTCCTCACTAGGGTTGCGGTGGGGCTGGAGTCTATCTCAGCTGACTTAGGATGAAGGCAGGAGACACCCTGGACAGGTCACCAGTCTATCACAGGGCCACACTTAGAGACAGACAACCAAGCACACTCACATTCACACCTATGGACAATTTAGAATCATCAATAAACCTCAACATGTTTTTGGACCTTGTGGGAGGAAGCTGGAGAACCCGGAGAGAACCCACGCTGCACGGGGAAAACATGCAAACTCCACACAGAAAGATCCCGGGTGTCCTCACTGGGACGCAAACCGGCGACCTTCTTGCTGCAAGGCAACAATGCTAACCACCCAGCCACCTTGCAGCCCCAATTGATGATAAATGAAATTTTTTAAATAAAATATCCCCAAAAATCCAGTGCCCTCATTTGTGGTTATTAGCTGTTCATCTAGCTCACAACACCATGCTGGCCTCTTTGACAAAGAGGCACTAATATATGTGTGAGGAGCTCCTAGTGAGCGGTAACTTAAGACACGCTGGTGGAGTTGGGTGAATGCAGGCTCTCAGGCGGCCCCCCTCTGCCTCCACCTTCTCGTCCCTCTCCTAGCAGCCTGTGTGGGCTCTCTTTGTCCGCTGGGAGCCCACTTCACATTGAGAGGGTCCTACTTGTCAACTTCTTAAGTCAATAGGGAACAGAGGGCTCCATTCAAACCCAGGCTCCGCTCAGACTCCTGACAAGAAATTCCAGAAAAGCGCTCTGCTCCATTTGGTCTGATAATAACCCGCTCCTCCCTCCTCGCCACACCAAAACATAAGATCCCGTTTTGAATATTCCCATTTGGCAATTTTTCCAGAAGAAAAGGAAATGGATCCTGTTGAGGGCACTTTGAGCTAAATTGAAACATTACATGTGTCTTCTGGGAGGGGAAGTCTTATGTTTTCCTACAAACCAGCCGTCTCATCACCATGGCAGTTCTGTGGTATTCTAATGTAAATGCCAAGAGAGCTGGAGGGGAATTTGCCCACCAGGAGGCCAATGAACGCCGAGAAGTAACCACATGTAAAATGGTCAAGGCCTCAATCATTGTTAAACTAATCAAATCTCAGCTCATTTTACGTAAGTGTGAAGAGAGCTTTAGCATCAGTGTGTAAAGAACTTAGAAAGAGTAACTACACATTTCACTATGGCTTGAACAGACATTTGAAAAGTGAAGAACCCACATGACATTTGAACGATACCGTAATTCAACATGTGCTACTAAACATTTAACCGTATTGTTGGAAACCTATTCATTAATCCTAAATGTTAGTGGTGCACCTGACCTCTTTCTGCTGAGTCAGTCTCACCTTGCTGTTCCAAGTTTCAGCTGCTGCAGGTCGGGACTGGAAGTAAGGCTTGGGTGTCAGCAAAGGCACCGGTTTGGGCGACAGGGTTCGGGTTGTTGGCGGTTCAGAGGAGCGGGAGCGAATCTGAGGCCGCTGGTGCGAGGATGAGTCTTTGGGAAACTCCTCGATCCGTGCCTCCAGTGTAGACGTGAACTTTGGAGCTGGGGCGGACTGCTGGCGGAGATACCTCAGCGGCCCGTTAGGGTCCACGTCAAAGGGGTCTGGTGTCGTAGGGGAGGTCGACAGGGAGAGGGAGATGGGGAAGAGCGAGGAGGGTAAGGAAGGGTCAGCAGATACGCTGCGGTCCAAGAGCTTTGGCAGCTGCAGACGTTCCAGGACTGTTTCGCTGATGGAGAAACGCTGAGCGTAACGTTGAAGAATGGCAGACGCCTCATCTGGGTTTCTGGCTCTCCTGTATGCCTGCCGCAGCTCCTCCTCACGGCGCTCCCTAGAAAACAAAAGGGATCAAGGAGACCGTACATGAAAAATGTAAAGCCATTGATAAGACACAGTTTGATTCAGTTCTCCAGTTGCTGATTTAACCCCTAGAAATTAATCTATGTGTATCAAAGATGCCTATTTAGAAGTTTTTTAAGCATAAAAATATTTATTTCATGCCTTAAAATGGCTTAGATTTAACCCTACACTATCACTTCCTCTAGACTGAGTGGATCTATGTAATCCCTGTTTCTTTGTCCACTCACAGCAGCTTGAGCACACCAGCTCACCTGCGACTCTGCTCAAACAGCTACTGTTAAAATCCCCACCCTACAACTGACAGGACTGGTTCTTTAGGGCCGTTTCTGTGAGGGAAGTCTGACTCTGAGTACACAGTTGCTCAGTCATGACTCTGACAGCTGATTTAAATGATCACGTGTTGTAGCGTATAAAAATCTCCATATAGACTTGTGAATAATGATTTCCACTGGAGGAGGCCTTTAACTTACTTTGCAACTCTATTAGTAGCAGACTCCCAAGGATCAATTTCTTCTCCATCACTATCCCTCACACAGATCTGCTCTTCCTCTTTGGCTTTTTCCGTGAGTGAGACCTACTTTAAGTGAACTCCAGGCGGAGCTGCTGTCACCTCTGTGCCCGCTGACAGGAATTACAGGGAACATTAAATTCCCTTCCCTGAGAGTGACCCAATTTTTTTTTCACATTCTAGTACTGTGCTATACATGCAGCTTTTGCTTTTCAGTGACACAGTAATCACAGTTATTGCGTTGTTGTGGATGTCACCTACTTGTCCTCCACGATCTCTCTGTAGGTCTTGATGCTTCTTCTCCTGTGAGAGATGCAGGTGTCTCCTGACATCAACTGCTCCATCATTTTCCTCTCCTCCTCTTTCTTGATCAAGTCCTGGGAAATACTCCTCCTCCGACTTTTCCATCGAGCCAGGTCCTGACATGCACACAAACAGACTTGTGAAAGGCTCGATTCTGCAGCACTGTTCTGGTCCTATAAACTTATTTCAGCTGTTTAGCTGGAGCACAGCTACATATTACTTTTCAAGGAAGCTTTTAATCCACAGGACATAACTGATAACCGTCTGACAGAGAAATAAAAAACTGTAGATGTGACAAAACTCAAATTCCAACAAACAACGAACGAAACAAGTTAGGAGAAACTCACATCCTGCCAGTGATCCTCCTCTTCCTTCTTTCTGTTGTACTGGTTGTGCATCAGCTCATGACGCACCTGACTGTGCGGCTGCAAGACGCCTTCTTCCTCACCACGCATGTCGATCATACTCACACTCCTGTGGACGAAGACGAGGAGGAGACAGACAAAGAACATGAAGTATGAAGAAAAGCAGGTAATTTCCAGAGTAAGACATGAATGTATTTTAAGAGTAAACTAGTCAGTTGAAGATAGATTTTTTGATGGGGTTAGTGAATCTACACATTCCCTTTAGTGTATTTCCTGTTATGTTTGCATCTTTAATCTGTTTCCTACTGTCACTGGAACACAGTGCAACATCAACTGTAACCTTTTCAAAGACTCAGCAGCGGTTGTAAACATTAGGTCAATCAAACAGCGAAAATATTTCTCTCTCAAAGTGATACTCGAACCAAAATGTATCAAAAAACCACAACATTCACAAAATACATCAATTCATCACAATAAGAAAAAAAGTGAACAGCCAGGTAATAGCAAAAGGCTCACTGTAGATAACATAAGAGCTTCTTTAAAAGACTCTTGGAAGTTTCAGATTTCAAATACAACCTAATGCTCCCTCAGCAGGTATAACTAGGATGTTCAAATGAATATTCACAATTTTTATTTTTTTTTAAAGGCACCCTTTCCTTTCCATCAAAAATAAACAGCCATTCCTGCTCCAATACTGTTATTTCAAACAACCTCATTTTGTTCCCCATCAAATTTTAACATTTGTTTCAGCAGGAGATGCATACATACAATATCATTTAACGCAACCTTTGAAAATAGCAGGTTCAGGTGCAGACACAGGTGTGGTTGTAAAGCTTTTAGTAGCATTCTGGTTTGAGTATAAGATATGCAGTGACCAGTGTGATCTTCAAGCAGTCACAGAGTGTTTACATTGCTCTTGAGGTTTCTAACTTTGTATTTGCTCAGTTAATATTGTTAAAGTATAGGAAATAAGAAAGAAGGGCTGAAGACATATCCTTGGATATAGAACTTTCCCAATTAGTGTCATGAGTATAATAATAGATACTGTAGTTAAGACTGAGAGAAGCGATGCACCGCCAACATACAAAGGACAGTACTCACTCAGTCAAATGTTTGATGGATCTCACTGATCACTGTGTGGACTGAAGTAATCTGTGACTACAGAGTGTTGCAAACCCAACAGATCATAGTTTTAGCCAGGTGAAGGTACAAGTCAATTGCAGTCAGTGTGTGTTCCAGTGCATGCTTCAATAACCATTTGTTTCTCTTATCCAAATTTTACACAAACGTACATCTGAGGTTCCGCTCAGTTTCCATAAAAGCTGCCCTTTTAACATCTGCTTTTAGTGAGAAGATTACCATGAAGGTTGTTTTGTTTTGCATTAGTGCGGTGAGGTAAAGAGATGGGGTCTTGGCAGGAGGGGTGAAACGGTGGCTCTACATGATACATGCAGTTGGCAGAAGCACTGAGGATGAGTTTAGTAAATGCCTTCGACAGCCTTGACTGCAAGCACTTTGAATGCATCTGACAGAAATGGATTGTTGCCAGGCCAAAGCAAAAAAGCATATCCACAAGATTTACTGAAACCATATTTTCATGATGTTTCATGTGTAAAAGCCAGGGACACGGTTTGACACCGTCAATGCACACTGCCAAAAAGTCCATTTTGATGAAGTCATTTATAATCTTATAATTTGAATTTATGTAATGCAAGTAGGAAAATCTGCTTAATTGGGAGGCATTATGTTCCCCATGCAAAAAAACAAACAAAAAAAATGTTTTTAAAGAGCTCAAATAAGACCATCTTGTAACAATTGAAGTGATACATCAGCCCTGAGTGGCTGTGCTTATTCCAATTTATACCTCCTTGAAAACAGCAATCTGATAAATTACTGTTATTACAGAGAACATTTTGGTTCCACTCCACTTTTCAGTGTAAATTAGTAACTGCTTCCCAACATCTCATAACTTCACCTGAAATATACATGTGAGGGGGCTGCTAAGTCTAAAAAACAAATCTGGATGCTAATTAATGAGGTTTTGGAGACAATTCCATTATTACACGAGGAGTGAAGGGTCATTTTAGAAGTCTTATTTTTTACCCTGGCATGTGGGAAACACCACATTTTAGTAAATTTTCTAACATGACAAGATGGTCAACAAAAAGTGGCTCAAAATGCTGCCTCATGGGCTCTTTAAAAGCAAACAAAAACAACACCAGAAAACTTTCTACAGGCTTGCTATGAGAATGTAAATTCAGTGGCTTAAAAACAAACAAACAAAAGAAAACTTCCGCCTTTGGCAGATTTTCCATCTTGCATAACAAAAATCTAATTCATCCAACAATGAATGAGCAATTAAATCACTTATTAAGCCAGCTTTGTTTTGTAGTGCAGAGCAGGGCTGGGCCAGGCAGCTGAGCCTCTGAGTGGTAAAACAACAACTTACTGTGGATCATCTGACACACTATCTGTGTGGCTGAATCTACAGACGGCAGAGAGCATGGAGAGAAAGCTCAATCACAAATGAACACAACACTCTGAACAAAGAACCATGTTATCTACTCATGCAAATATCAAAACACATTGATTGAATATTTGATTGTTAGAAACATATCGTGTTATGATCACAGTTCACAATGGACAAAGTTTATGACAAAGCAAAGTGGAGAATGTGTACAGAGTTCAGTTTGATTAACAACCTTTTAAACACGTGTGCCTGGTGGTCTTGTGTGAATGCACAGATGGATTTGTCAGCAGTTGGGTTAAATGATGAACCTCAGACCAAGCACAAGGGGGCAGTCTTATCCAAAATACAGTCGTAACACAACTGAAGTCAAAGTTTACTGCAGCACTGCAAACCAAAACAGTGCTAGTATACAAGAGGATGCATATGGCAATGATCTTACAATGCAGCTGACACTAAACTACGAAAAAAGCACATGCATCTTTAATTAGACGGCACAAGAACAACATCAAAGATGTGACTCTCTTTCTGTCTGTGACCACCACTTGTAGGTTTGGCCTTAACCACAAAGGTCTTTTTTGTTTAAAGAGATGCATCTGTGATGTTGGAGGGGTGTGAGAGAAAGTGTGGCCTGTGGTTTGTGTCCCACAAGAGAAAAAAGGAGACTGAATTAAGACAAGATTCCCTAAATCAAGTCCAGATAGTTTGTGTCTAAGGTGGCTATTTGCCATATGGTTTGTTGTAGTCAAACATCGAGTTGCCATGTTTTTTAGTAGAAAGATGTCTGCTAGAGATGTGCATTACAACCAGTGGCATTTCAGCATTTCATTGCCATACACTGAAATATCATTGCTCAATAAGTGTCGGACAAATTCAAAGATGTACATTTAAGAATTTAACATATTTTGTTTCAAACTGGCTCCAATTCAATTAGAATCCACAACAGTTATTTTTTTTTTCTTCCATAATTAGGTCTCCAGAAGAGATATGAAAAGATCATACACAGTTCAACAAAGACCACATTCTCAAAAGCTTCTTCAAATGTCATAGTAACAGGAAAAAGCAAAAAAAAAAAAAAAGAAAAAGGAAAAAAAATAGTACAGATTTTTTCAGTTTCCATGCGTTCTATTTGTAACAACAGTTTTAAGCTTGCAGTATCAATTCATATTCATTTTAAGAAGGTCATGCAATCCTCAGGCAGTTATTTATCATCATCAAAATAGAAGCACTGCAGTCTCAGGTCAAGGTCACATGCTGATACAGAATATTCAAAGGGATTATAGGAATAGATGAACCCTTGACTTTAAAGGTGAATTTAGTAGTTTTAGCTCAATGCAGCAGACTTTCATTAAATGTGGTGTAGTTGCTGGACGGGGCTCACGTTGCTGGGAGACTGCTGTCCAACCAAGATGTCAGTTCGTGCGGGTCGTCCCTTTCGCTCAGTGTGCGTCCCCTCCGTCGGCCTGTGTCGGTCGTTTCTGTTGAAGTGGTTGCCATGGCAGTGGGCACAGGAAGGAAGTCGGAGGGACTCGGGGTGCTGACACGTTTGGGCGAGGTCAGCTTTCGACAGGCCTCTTTATCAGTCCCCTCTGCACCTAATGGGGAACCGGTGACTCTTTTCCTAACTCCTGCATCCTCCTGCTCTCCCACAGGTGGATGTTTCCCAGCTGTGTTGACGGGGCTTGTTGCAGCCACAGAGCCTGCCGTGGCGTTTGCTGCTGGAGTCGTCGAATGGTGGAAGAGCTCCTCTGAGCACGAGCGAGCTGGAGTGCTGCAGAAAGCAAATGAAACTAAACCGTTTTGCTGCCTGGTTATCATGCTATATCATTAGACAGCATTCCTCCAGAGGAGCCTAAATGGAGGTTTTTGAAGACATAAATTTAAGAAAAATTGCGCGTGGTCAGAAATCCCTTCAGAGCAGACTGGATGTGAAAACAAATTGGAGTCACAAAGTCAAAGCAGAATTCAACCAACGCTCTGTTGTTTGTCATCTTGTGATGAACAGCTATTTTTCAGGAGGCGTGTTATTGGACAGTAAATTCCCAGAATGCATGGCAGGGAGGGAGAGACTGGCCAGCTGCCGGCAATGAAAAGGCCAGGCTTCAGTCCCAGCCTGCTCAGGGTCAGGGAAGGAAGAAGGCCTCATTTCCTTACATCCTGAGGGTGGGTCGCATGTTCTCTGCGAGTGTGTTTGTTTGTGTGTGGACACACACGGTACATTTTTGTGTTTATATTTGAACGCGCGTGCAGCTTTGTTCACAGATTTTGACAGGAGTTTTAAAGAAAAGGTCAAGTGTTGTTGTTGGAAGGAAGAGGGCAATCAATTGTTTTTCTTGGTCTCTGCGTGTTTTAGTTCTAGATGTGGATTTTATGAATGCAAACTACACAATTGCAGATGTGTTGCTCATTGAGCTGAATCTTCAGTTGTATTAATAAATTATATTTACCACTTCAAACTTGGATGTTAGCGCCTCTCCATTTTGATTCAAACAAATAGAAAGAGGCAGCCGCATCAGAAAAGGTTCTAATAAAAGATGTGTCAACACAACTTGGCACTGCAAACCCCAATTTGTTGAAGTTATGCAAGATGTGTTTTACAAGTGTTTTAAAGCATTAACTCCTGGCAACATTAAAAATACACAAATTCTACCCTCATTTTTTTTCTTCTAAAAACACTGCACACTGTATCAAGGAGACAAGTCCATATCAAGGCCTTTTACAAACATGCTTGACATCCCCCTTTTTCCTTGGAGCACAAATATACACACAAGTTGGATTTCTACTGAGAAATTCTTTTCACTCCCTTGAAATGCTGACAGTCCAATCAATACCATGACATTTGTGCCAAAAAAAGAAAAGAAAATGGAAACTGGGGGTGTGGCTCTTAATAACTCTCTGGCAGGACTTTGAATGAAACATCAGCTTGACTAGGAAATAACAACGGATAAGGCTGGATTGTGAAATAACATAAGTGCCCTAAACCGACATTTTTTAAGCGAGAGATTCTGTGAACATGGCTCACACTGGATTTGTGTGAACTGTAAAATACACAATGGCATTCTACCTTGACAGCTCGTAATCCTCACCTTGTTACCTGACACCAAATGTATAATCTGTGGCCCTGGGCCGGCCTGCGAGGGAAAGGTTTTGTTCAATTCTACAAGCAAAGGGCCACAAGTTCGGGACAATGCGTCCTGAAATGAGAACAGAACCTCTTGCTAGCTTATTGTTATGCTGCTCTGGATAAGAAAGGCAATGGAAATGATGATCGAGTAATAGCTGTGCCAAAGAACAAAATAGGTAGATTGAAGCACCAGCTGTGAAAACTAAGACAGCTTTCCACCAAAGAAACAATCCTGATAAAACACCATTCACAATGAAATCTGTGGATTATCCTGACGAACAGGAACATTGGTTTTGGACAGATGTGCAACTGCTGAGACGAAGAAGGGCAATTCTTCTGTGTTTTCAGTGGCACAGATAGAATTTATGGTGGTGTCAGTGGAAGATACATCAATGCTTGCGCAGGGAAATTATCTGCATGGCTACATACTGCTTGATTTGGATGTACTGAATCTCTAACAAAACAAATGTTCAATTCCATTCATAGCCAACATTGGGAGAGTTTTCTGCAAATTTAGCACTGCATTCCTGTAACACTGTTGGACTCACAATGACTAAAAAAAAAAGAACAAAACTGATGAGGCAGTCTTCTTTGTCAAACCTGGTGCTTACATTACCCACACTGAAACTGGACCACAGACAGCTTGGTCTAAAATGTGAGTGTGTTATGCTAGTAGCAGGTAATGTAGCCTGGAGCTGTGTGCCTCGCACAGAGATGTAGAGCGGCACTACTGAGGTAGAGCAATCTTACTCTGTTTCCTTATCAGATTTGTAGTCTTTGGGCTGTTTATTAGACAATGTAGAACTTCTTCTTTTGCCCCAGAATATAGTACATTCTTATATATAGCAGCACTCCCTAGAACCTGTAAACAAACCTTGATGCATAAAATCAGGGCATTTCTTTTTGAAGGACAGCATGTAAAAACTCAAAAAACAATAAAAAACTATCTCCCATTAGAAAAATATAAAGAAATTAAAAATTTTACATGACAACACCTCAGTGCTTAGATTTGGTTGATTTAGAGGAGTTAGAATCAGATCTATGACAAGGAGACTGGGACGATGATTTTGGATACTGAGAAAAACATGAATTAAGGTAAAGACCTTTGCTCAGAGGTGACCATCAGCTGAGTTACAGTCTCCCTGGGGGGCTCTGCATGGGGCTGGGAGAGGCTACAGGGCAGAGGCTCACTGCTCCTCCTTATGCCCACTGCATGGATCTCAATGCAGGGTGCGGATGCAGTCTGCTCCCCTTCCTCCTCGTCCTCTATACCCTGGATCTCCTTCTGAATCTGTATATAGGGTTCAAGGGGCGGGGTGGGGGATCGACTACTGGACTCTTCAGGTGGGATGTCTAAGCTAGAGTCCTCACTTGGACTGATAAATCACCCATTCATACAACACACACAGGAGAGGACGACGTAATGACGTTGGAGCAAAATTAGCGACATGAGGGGGTTCACAACATGATGGCAAAAGGATGCGGAGCACACACATATGTGGTGAGGGTAGGTCCATACACGAGAGGAAAAAAGACACACAATGATGTGAGGTAACGGATGGAGATGGAGAAGGAGAAAACAAAGGAGGAAAACAAATGCAAAATCAATATACACATGCATTTTGGTGTCACATTTTGCATGATGGATGAATTTATGGGAAATTACAGTAGGAGCAAACAGTGGGTGATACACACAGACAAAACAGAATGACTTCAAACACCTCCCTGCTGGAAACCACTTGCAGAACCTATTAGAAATGTAAACAGCGCAGAGTAAGGCTAATTACAACGTAGATATTTGGCCGGTAAGTAAATATCGACAATCGCCCTCAGCTGTCTGTCAATAGAGCTCAAATAATGATCTATCTGAACCTCAAATTATCAGCCTTCGAAAACTACTTTTACCAAATCCTGTCCTATAAACACACACACCACTACCAATGCACATTCTGATACTACAACTGATCAAAGCATATTAAGGAATCCACTGAGCCAGCAGAAATGTGAAACTTGTGATAAAAATTTGCGATCTCAGAGCTCTTGCGTGGTGCCAAACCAATATATGCCAATAAGACCTTCAGTCTTAAATCTGCCTCTTTTTTGACTATGCAGCATATTTCACACTTGCGCTTCAATCAGAGTCAGTCTGAGCCAATGAAAGTGCACATCTGGCCTCCATCAGCCACTCCCATCTGTACAACACTAGACAAAGAAAAATAATCAATAGTCACAAGGTTTATTCCACTTATGTGATTTGACATGAGTGACACCTGCCCAAATGTTAAACACTAAATGAACCCAAAAACTTTAAAACTCTAATAAATAGCCGCTCATATTGGTCGGTTTTGTCAACTCTATGTTAATCAGATTTATTTTTAATAGACTCCATGGTCTATATCCACCCATAGTTTAGGAGTTTATGTATAGATTTTTCATGCTAACTGAAACATTAAACCATTTCTGTAGAACTTTGTCTGGTCAAAATTTTTTAGTGACAAGCAGAAATTTTGATTTGTCTGCCATAAAATTTAAAAAGAAACTTTAATTTTAAAAGGTCAATGTCAGGCTGAAACAGTCATAGACAGGTAATCTTTTCAATGAGCTGCTACACTTTCTTAGCGTGACAAACGTCAAGGACCTTTACTAGCTCTGCACTGTTAATTTGGCGAAGTCACTCAACATCCTACATATATTACATGTAAATTATATCAGCCTGTGCCAGAATTTACAACAAATGCATGTCAAAAAAAAAAACAATTATAAAGTTCTAATGACATTCAATATCATCTTAATGTTCTGTGAAAAGAAAGAAGGAATATTCCATCTAATATTAGCCATTTCTCTAAAGATGTTCAATAAAGCATATGTTACATTTACTACTATGCAAATCTTTGTGGTTATTCACAGACCTAAAGTGAAACTGCAACTCTGTTCAGTAACATGTAAACTGTACGTAACAGTGATCAGACGGCGAATGCCTTTGAAATATCCCAACTAGCATACAAAAGCTGTGCATGTCTCACTTGTGTCACTTTTACACTCACCTAAAAGGTCTGTCTCCCCCTATAGGTGACGTGGCGGTACTCCAGCTCTTCCGTCCTCCCTCCTCCTTGTCGTTCTTTTTCTTGCGCAGCGGCGTCGGCACATATCCGCTCTGGTTGCTCTTGTTGGGCAGGTACTGGTTGAAGGGCATGGCGGTTCGTGGCTCGCTGACGGACGTTCGCCGTGCCAACATGTCGTCCTTACGAACATCTGGCATCTTCCTGTGAGGGGGGCCGTCGGACTCTGAGTCGCTGCCACGGCCTGATGAGAGGAAGAAAGGTGGGATGAGGATAAAGGAGATATATTTTACTATTTAATTGATTAGCTTAAGGTTCAGAGATGGAATCCTCCAAACCAGCTGAATCCCACTATCAATACATGAGCATGTATGTTTTGCTAAAAGAGGAACACCAGCCATGTAAAAATGGTTATATTATGAAAGAGACAGTGACATGTAATAAGAGCTTATTTTAAATATTTAGAGAAGTGGTTAGGGTGACAGACAAACTAATTCTGACCAGAGAGTTTTTACATTATGCATGCTTTGATGGAGATCCCTGACTGAAAGGTTTGAAAGCCACATGGAAATACTGAGGAGGCGATTCCATATAGCTGATACATGAACATTGCTTTCCATTATCGTAATACCATGAAGAATAAGCAATCGTTATTATAAAACTCACTGTATTCTGTTGCTGAAAGTAGTGGTGTAACTGACTGTGTGATCCGTATGGATCCACGCCCACAGTTCGGCTCAAAGGTATATCGCGGATTAATTGCAAAATTGAACTATCATTATGTGAAATATAGTTTTAATCCTGTTACTGGTTGAAGTAACAAGAAGTGCACTCAGAGAGCACAGTCCCTCATCAAGGCCAATGGAATATCTTGCAATTTAAAAGACAGTGATCTGGATCTGTGCCTGGCAGTTTTTGCGTAATCCTGCTTACGGCACTTTAAACATACCTCCGCCTCACAGAGGAATAATTCCCTCAACCTTGATGCAGAGCGGCGGTAACAAGATACAAAACATTTGCAAGTAGTTACAAGGATTGTAGAGATTCAGAGGAAATTAGTTTATCAGACTGAGAATTACTTGGCAGCCCTATACTCCATCAATTTTCCTATTAATGTTGTTAACCTTTACTGTAATTACAAAGCCATGTGGGCGTTTTGCTGCACTCTGAGGAAGCACATGACGTTTACCTCCTTAATGATGATGTTATTTGAAAATGACCACGATTCCCCTTTAAGTATCCTCGACAATAAGGAACATTCAGCTTGCTGAGTCATTGTTAGGGGGACAGAGAGAGCGAGAGAGAGAGAGAGAGAGAGAGAGCAGAGGGAAGGAAGGGAGAGAGACTAAACCCCAAAATAAGCTGTGCAGACAAACTGTTGATTGGGAAGTCACATGGCTGGTGACCCACATATATTTCGTTAAATCTATAGAATTTCTCTCTAAGCCATTCGATCATAGAGACCTTACAAAAACATTACAGTGGCCTGACAGTGTTATTATGTGCAATGCATTCCAGTGGCTGAGCATAAATCAGGCCCGAGCAGATTGATGGCCTGTTTTTTATGAAACAAAGCAGGTAACATAAATCATCCCTAAATTTGTATGGTGCAGCTCGTGTTGACTAAATTTTAGCCTACAGTTAGGAAACATTTCCTCAGGATGCCACTGTGTCTGTGTGTATCAGATTTTAACCATATTGTTAGCTTTTTAATGTCAGTGGCAACACCTGGCTTTGCAGAAGTGCATTGCTCAAGGACTTTCCAGACTTGTTGTCTTAAATTCCTCTGCAAGATATCCTAAGGTGATCCCCAAAGAACAGAGGAGAGAGAAATGAAAGTCAGGCTTACTGAGACTGTCACATGTTTACAATTTCTGTGTTGTACTGCTGGCATACCAGTCGTTTCTACCTTCATTTTTTTTTTTTTTTGCAAATCCCACTCCATATTAAATACGTTCAAACAGCAGAAAATAGATACCTGCAGCCCCGCTTTACTCAAGGTCTCCCAAAAATTCCTCTCCAAGCTGTTCAGCACATGTGCTACTGTCCCCTCCCTTGGAGTGCATGTGTACTCAGTCTCTGACCTATGAATTTATGACTCAATACATATATTTTTAAAGCATAAACCAGCGATTTGAGCCAGACCTAAACCATAAAATCTCCCCCTTAGTTTTGAAGAGATACATGTGGAAGCAGCTACAGCTCTCAGTGGAAACAAACGCAACATTTTGAACTTGTGAAGACCTCCTTTTCTATTAATAGAGTTCTTAGTTTTTATGTGGTCTAAAAGATTGACAGATCAAGGTCCAGAGAAGGCCTTGAGGAATCTGCACTTCCAACAATGAATGGTTCAATTATGACTCTTAACCCATCAATTGGAAACATGAGTGACTCTACCATCCAAGTCTATCCATCGTTAAGGAGCAACATATGTGTCTATGGGATGATCTGCTCCTGCGGCACATGTGGTAACACTAAAGCTTGAAGGAACATCTATCATAGGTCAGTGCCACGCTGTGCCAGCGTTACGGAGAAACTTATTTACATCAATAATCATCAACTTACAGTCATAGTACAGGAAAACGCAAAGCTGTGGAGTCTAGTTCAATATGCTTTATAGAAACTGAAAAGTGGAAACTAAATCACAAGTGACAAACAGTGACAGCCATAACGTCTAACAGCATTTAAGTAAAAAGAAAATGCCACTTCCTGGGGTATAAGAGCAAAATATAATGGTTTGATATGATTTTTTGATATGATATGATACAGATCTACTGTTTTAAAGTCAGAGAGAACAGCAAAAACCTGCAGGGAAATGTATATTTAAATAGTAATCTGCATGACAGCTGAAAGCAAACCCAAAGCCCAGTTAACCAGCACACTACCTACAGCAGTGAGCTAATGTCGGCTGAGATTCTGATTTCAGGACTAGGACTTTCTTTGAGTGAGAGCTGGAGCTGGAGTCTCGTGTGGCAGAGTTCAGGCTAATTTTAGTGGCTTAATCCGTCTCTTTATTTGATTTGGGAAGGTTTACACTTCAGCAACTCCTGTGAACGACCTTACATCTACCCAAACACACAGGCTGGTCCTTATCCTCAAGGTTCGCTTGTTATAGCAAAACATGACGTTTTAAAACAAACAATAAAGCATAAATCTAACCACTGCGGTACTTATCCAAGAATGTTGTTAGCATCATACCAATGTTCATGTTAAAATGAAAATGTATTATACTATATGACTCGAGCTAACTCCTCCTACTCTGCTGTACAGGAAAAATGCTGCTCCTTTACTCTATGTGTTCTACATGGATGATTAACTGATTGAAATGCTAACTGTTTTAACTGGAGCATGTACTGGAGCTGTAAACCCGAGTCCTCTATAATTACATCATGTATACAGTCCTCTCATGTGACCAATTAACAGGCTTCTCGTTTTGAAAGAAAAGTCAGTTGGAAATACTAAAAATACAGCCAGAGACAATTTCAAACGACTCGTGAAAGCTAGCTACAGATGATAAAACCTACTAGTAACAGCTGTTACGACTTCAATTTACAAAAATAACAGTTGCTGGCTATAAGTGTGTGCCTATTTTCACCTTCATGTAAAATCACAACCCTATGTTAAAACACCAAATGTAAACTGTATATGTGTCAGTGTAGCATCAGTAAGGGAGGCAGAGCTTAGAAAAGGTTCCATTTAGCAAAAAAAAACCGACCTTGATATGTTTGTTATTATTCTGTGCATGCATGTTGCAGGCGGTGTATATGAATGATGAGTCATGAGTCTTGTGTGAAAGCCGTAGTTTGAAAACAAATGGTAAGTGATATTTCAGAAAACCTGAATGGTACAGTTTGGGGTAATAGTTCCCACAAAACCCCTTAAAGCCATCTCAGTTACATCATTCAATTATTCTTTTAAACAGCCTTTGACCAGCAGTGGGTGTTGCCCTCCCAAGGAGAAGGACATTCTTTACCATATGAGCACCAAAAGCACAAAGTGCCTCATTTATCAAAACTGTATCCATCTACAAACTTGGCCCAAACAAAAGACTATTGCCAATATTGAATTTCTTTCAGAGATTAGATTAAACTCTTCCCCCGTCCTCTAATTACTGTCAGGGTGAAATCAGTTTTCAGTGCTGAATAAAGAAAAGGCTTAGTCTAAAGGTCAGGGCAGGGAGGACTTGGCAAAGTCAAGGTTGTATACATGTTAATAATGAGATGCTTTTCTTCTGGGTGTACTCAGTGTTCCCTGTTCCTGTTCATACTTCTCTAGTTTATGCCTGTAGGTCTGATCTGAACACCGATACTTTGCTTACAAATATCCCCAGACAAGACAGTTTTCATAAAAATATTGAACTAAATGTGAAGCTTGTGAAAGCGTCTATTGTCCTACACGTGACTGAACCACAACGTGATTCAAACAGCAATAAATTGAACAAAACTTGAGGGGAATTCCACCTCAGATAACTTAATGTTATTACTCACAGTATCATTGATTTGCAATGTCAAAAGCATTCTAGGAGTCACCCGGTTAAGATGTGTGTTGTCATTCAGTTTTCACTTAGCCAACTGGCCTCCTCATTTTTCATCTATTAGCAATTCCCTTCATATTTTTTAAACTTTGGATCAGATGTGGGCGTGTGGGAATACAAACAGCTTGACAGCATGACTAATCAGCTGTGGGTTGCAGATGTCGGTGGAGGGACTGATTAAGTAATGCTTGTGTAGTAAAACAAGACCGTTTAAAATAACGTCTTGTGGCAGATTTGCATTTTGCTCTATTAAGGCTACTGTAACGGGTAAAAACAGTGTCTCTCAGTCCTGTGATTGTGTGATTGCTGAATGTCCTTAAAAATTGTGACAGGTCTTTGTATAGGAAACCAAAATCGTACCACTGTACAGACTAATATTTTCTCTGCAATCAAAAACTATGGTTACTTATCAGTAACAATGACAAAACACACAGTCAAGCAACAAGGCCTGTTGCTTTGTTAGCAAGCAGGAGAGATTTAGGGTGGATTTTCCCCTTATTTCTGATAAAGCAAACGTCAACATCCAGTGAAGTTTTAAAGTCTGTAGTTTGACTGTTGGTGACAACAACGCAGACTTCGGAGGCAGCAGTTTCCTTTGCACTTCCCTCAAAACAAAAACACAGTCAGACAGGATGCTGAGCCTTGTTCTGTATTTTCCCACATGCAGTTCAGCGATAAAAAAAAATTATATTACGCTTTCTGAACGACTGCTGTAATCTTTTACAGTCTGTCATTAAAATTTAAAAGGTTCAAATTCACAAACAGTGTAAAAATGAACAGCTCTGAATGACCGCATATGGTCAGTTTGGCATTGTAAAGTATTCATATGTGACCAAACTGTATTTTTAACTGAATTTTTGACTTTAGCACAAACTATAAAAACAGCATCAAAGCCATTTGATACTTTATGTTTGCCTTGAAAAACTTAACATGGTGTGCAAGTGTTGTGCTACCATGTTGGATGCATTAAAATACATATGTTCTAACAGAGGTTTTCCTGAATCAAAAAGGGCCTTGAGAGGACTGCACACAACAGCAAACATCATCGGTCTGCATACAGTAAAGGCAATGAGTCTGTGTTAACTTATTTCAAAAGAAGCTGCATTCTCTGGTTATTTCTGACCAATTGATAAACAAAAATGCATACTATGCGCCAGTAAATGAAACTTCTTATAATTTTGGCACTGGGATTTTCCTTTGGCCCTGGCTAAAACCTCTCTTTTGGTCCCTTCAAAAGCTCAATGAAGAGGTGTCAAAAATTCCTCTTTGCAGAAGAAAATCCTGCCTAAGGGTTTAGGTAGAAAACAACTGGACTTTTTTTTTTTGCAAATCCCACTCCATATTAAATACGTTCAAACAGCAGAAAATAGATACCTGCAGCCCCGCTTTACTCAAGGTCTCCCAAAAATTCCTCTCCAAGCTGTTCAGCACATGTGCTACTGTCCCCTCCCTTGGAGTGCATGTGTACTCAGTCTCTGACCTATGAATTTATGACTCAATACATATATTTTTAAAGCATAAACCAGCGATTTGAGCCAGACCTAAACCATAAAATCTTCCCCTTAGTTTTGAAGAGATACATGTGGAAGCAGCTACAGCTCTCAGTGGAAACAAACGCAACATTTTGAACTTGTGAAGACCTCCTTTTCTATTAATAGAGTTCTTAGTTTTTATGTGGTCTAAAAGATTGACAGATCAAGGTCCAGAGAAGGCCTTGAGGAATCTGCACTTCCAACAATGAATGGTTCAATTATGACTCTTAACCCATCAATTGGAAACATGAGTGACTCTACCATCCAAGTCTATCCATCGTTAAGGAGCAACATATGTGTCTATGGGATGATCTGCTCCTGCGGCACATGTGGTAACACTAAAGCTTGAAGGAACATCTATCATGGGTCAGTGCCACGCTGTGCCAGCGTTACGGAGAAACTTATTTACATCAATAATCATCAACTTACAGTCATAGTACAGGAAAATGCAAAGCTGTGGAGTCTAGTTCAATATGCTTTATAGAAACTGAAAAGTGTAAACTAAATCACAAGTGACAAACAGTGACAGCCATAACGTCTAACAGCATTTAAGTGAAAAGAAAATGTCACTTCCTGGGGTATAAGAGCAAAATATAATGGTTTGATATGATTTTTTGATATGATATGATACAGATCTACTGTTTTAAAGTCAGAGAGAACAGCAAAAACCTGCAGGGAAATGTATATTTAAATAGTAATCTGCATGACAGCTGAAAGCAAACCCAAAGCCCAGTTAACCAGCACACTACCTACAGCAGTGAGCTAATGTCGGCTGAGGTTCTGATTTCAGGACTAGGACTTTCTTTGAGTGAGAGCTGGAGCTGGAGTCTCGTGTGGCAGAGTTCAGGCTAATTTTAGTGGCTTAATCCGTCTCTTTATTTGATTTGGGAAGGTTTACACTTCAGCAACTCCTGTGAACGACCTTACATCTACCCAAACACACAGGCTGGTCCTTATCCTCAAGGTTCGCTTGTTATAGCAAAACATGACGATTTAAAACAAACAATAAAGCATAAATCTAACCACTGCGGTACTTATCCAAGAATGTTGTTAGCATCATACCAATGTTCATGTTAAAATGAAAATGTATTATACTATATGACTCGAGCTAACTCCTCCTACTCTGCTGTACAGGAAAAATGCTGCTCCTTTACTCTATGTGTTCTACATGGATGATTAACTGATTGAAATGCTAACTGTTTTAACTGGAGCATGTACTGGAGCTGTAAACCCGAGTCCTCTATAATTACATCATGTATACAGTCCTCTCATGTGACCAATTAACAGGCTTCTCGTTTTGAAAGAAAAGTCAGTTGGAAATACTAAAAATACAGCCAGAGACAATTTCAAACGACTCGTGAAAGCTAGCTACAGATGATAAAACCTACTAGTAACAGCTGTTACNGCGATTTTTGAAAACATGTCACCCTATATGTGGTTTTCAAAGCAACCGCAAAGCAATATACGGAGCATAGATTACACACAGTCAGATCCTAACGTTCCATTTTTTTTCTGTATGTTTCTGTGATACTTTGCCGTACTACCCACCAGCTCTCTGTGTGGTAATGTCAGTGGGAGTAATAATTCTTAAAAGCCAGAAGAAATGAAAGCCAGAAACATCAAACGCTGCTAGTAGTGTAATGCTTGGAAACGAAAGGTAAATCAATCACACATACGTTTTTCTTTTCTTTTCTCAAATGGTATTCAAATGTTATATACTGGAATTCAAATTTTGATGAGGTAGCATTCCAGCTCAGTTTTCTGTCACAATACGAATGCATCATTATATGTTATAATGTCCTTTGTTCTCCAACCAAAAGCTGGCAGTTGTGTGATCACTGACATATCTGTCAAGTGTCAGATCAAAAACCACTAAAAGTCCATTCATACAGCCGCACCTCGTTCTCTCCCACTTCTTTGTCTCACATACTATATTAGGACACTTCATCTCTTCCACCCTCTCTAGTGCTGTCACTCATCTCAGTCCACACTTCAAGAGAGTCATCAAATGGCCGTAACCAAGGACAACAGCTTCAAACACAAAGCACAAAGACACATCTTCTGTGGCTGACAGTGGAAGGGCAGGAAATCCCTACTGAAAGGTGTCACCACCACTATAAGACTGCAAGCTTGGACAAGAATGGTGTGTTGTGGCACCTGTTCTTTTAATATTCAGAATATGTGTGACTAGAAAAACAGCAATGCAGGAAGACATAGAATCACTGTACCATAAAACTAAATTGCTACAACGTGCATTTGAAGGCAGGAAAAAGAGACAAAAAAAGATGGAGAAGTCTTCATTTATCCTCCACTGAGCAGGGAGGTTTCAATGTTCAAACTACAGTTTGAAATCCTCATATTATAATTTCAAAGAATGCAGATCTGATATGCTAACAACAAATGACAATGTTAAATGCATGTGTCTTAATCTCTTCTCCAAGAAAAATAGACATGTGGTACAAAATCAGATCCCCACTGTAGTTTCCTGGCAACTTCTATTTTTTTTCCGTTAATTCAGAATGTGTCAGTGTTTCCAGAAACACAAATAAATGTGGTTTTACATCGCCTGCTACAACTGTCATTGGATGTCAGCTTGGTGGAGCCTGTGTTAATATGACAAGACTGAAATGCGACTGAAACAAAAACAGATGTGAACGTATTTGTTACTGAAACTTGGCTTGAGGATGTTTTTTGACACTGCAGATTGACATCAGATAAGGTGAGCCTTGAATTGACACAGTCATGCAAAGAAGAGACGATGAATATCTGTGGTGTGAGTGTAGCTCTTGCTCTAACAGTAATCACAGACAGGACCCTTCATAGTTTTCTTTTTTACGACGGATGAAAAATGTTTTGAAGAACTACCTCAGTGTATGCACACTGTATCCATGTGCTAAATCTGACCTAAACAAAATCAGCACTGCCAGTACTAAACTTCTTTCCTTTCACATGACATATGGCTACGGCCAAAACAAAACAATGGCCATAGGTTGACTTCAAAACAGGCACTGCACTAAAATTATTCACATTATTCTTTTGAACCGCCTTTGACTAACACTGGGCGTTGTCCTGCAAAAACATATGCAGGAGAATGAGAGGCTTTATTACAGCAGCACAAGACTGACAATAGGCCTCATTTATCTATATACAGTATCTGGACACCTTGACCTGCCCAAACAAAGCCAGTGTTACATTACTTCCTATCCATAAGACAAACAGCTCTTGCTAAAATATCACAATGGCTACTAAACTAGTAATTTATTGCGCACGCAATAATGTAAATCACAAGACTGAGCTTTCATAGTAAGTTCTAACAAATAGTTTAGCGCGAATGTTCAGAGAGTAAACCGGACTGTTTGTTACCATCGCTGCTGCCGCGGGCGACCAGGACGTCCGGCGATGGGGTCTGTCGAGAGCGTGAGCCGAAGGAGTCCAGGCTGTCGAATGAGTCCTCGCGTCCGTGGCGTGGCGGAGAAAGAGAGTCGCTGCGCTCAGAGTCCCAGCAGTCGATGTAGCCGCTGTCCCGGATGCTGCGTTTAGGGCTCTCTGCCTCCTCCGCCTCCTGACGATTCAGAAAAGCACACATAGGTATTTTAAAATGCATGTATACAAAAGGAATGACACATAATACTCGGGGCAAAGTGGTGAATGTAATTCATGGACCCAGATATCACTGAAGTTCTGTAAACTTGTGATGTGTCTCCTTAGATTTGTGTCCGCTACAATCATTTTACTACAACTCTACAGTCCTCCTACATCTATTTATCCACTAACCCTTCTGCATTTTCTTCTGCTCATATCACTATTCATCACTCTCTCTTCACTTCAGTGGCTCCACAGCTAATGGAAGGTGGGGAAAGGCCTTTCCTGTCTACCAAAACACTTCCTGCTCCCGACCCCTGTACCGCCTGTTACACAACTCCCAAACCCTTGTAAAAGTTCTTTATGTTTTAATTGGGCTCAACTGCCATAAAACATGCGATTTGTTTCTCTCTGTGACGTACACCTAACTTGCTTTGGCAACAAAATCCCATCCCCAGATAAAAGTGCATTGGCCAGATCAGTGCATGCTCATAAAGGTTTGCCTTAAAATGTAACGAGACACTTCTATTGTTACAGAACTAGCAAACCTGACAGTTGTTTTTTTGTCTAAACCTGAAACTACTATGGTACTTTTCAGGTTTTTCAGGTTGAGCTCGGCTACACATTCACCTGCTTCTTGTTTTTCAATCATCATTTTTGTAAGGTCCAGCAACCATTTAATAGCTTTCACAAACCAAGTGTGGATGTGGAATTTATGCACCTGATGACCTCTCCTTCATTTTCAATTCCCGTTCTTTAATTCTTTTTTCTTTTTTGTTTCATGGAAATGTGGCTTTGTTTTGTTCATCTGCAACGTGTGAACATCTGGGAAAGTAATTTTGCTGAGTTGGCAGTAATTTCTCAGTTTTATAGAACAGCAAAGGAACGTCACTTTGTGGAATAAATTGCATGGGGGTGACATCATGGCTGTCACAGAGCGTGCATGTGTGCGTCTTAAGGGACAGCTAATTCCAACTTCTCTGTCCTTTAGGGTCAGTAAATGGGTAGAATGCAGGTTCAGATGATTTACACCAGAGTCCAATTTTATAGAGGTCATGACTGATTATGGGCTGGATGGTGTTATCCTTTGCTTGAGATCCTTTCTAAGAAATCTCAATACACTTAAATACACTCATCCAGTGCATCCCAAAGTAAGCGATCCAGCAGAACACGTTGACCGGTCATTACATTACATTACAGTTACTGCAGGGACCAAATATGTGATCGTCTGCCTCTCTCCATGCAAACCTTTCGCATCTGTGACAGCAGCCCTTCAAACTCTTTCAGGTCCAGCGTGGGCCCGTTGTAGGAGGTACAGGTGTTGGCAGCACGACCCAACCAGTAGATGGTGATTAAAACCTGAAGGAAAGAAGAAATACAGTCACAGATCATGATGAACTCAGCTCAGATGTTGATTGTAAAGAAAGTTTTAGTCAAAGCAAAGCATTTGCCAGTCACAGTCAAGTTTTGTTTGCTAGTCAAGCTTCCTTCTAAACTAAGCTTCTGAGGCTAAACTTGTGCTTAGGCAGTAAAGAAATGCAATGTTTTTGTTTGATGGATAATATATTTTACAAAATGACTAAAAATAATTCAGAAAAAATAACACATGCAAGAACACTTCTCACACAGTGAAGGCTTCAGCTTCAAAACTTAACTGTTTTGCCTCTGTTATCTTTAAAAAGAAATTTGTCATGACCAGTAAACTATAAAAACATAATCAATCATCGGATCTTCACTTTTCTAACATTCCTTGAAGTAATCATCTGTGACGCATCAGAAAACTAAACCAAATCTAAACCTAAAATCTTAGTATTGCATAGAAACACTTACTGGTCTCATTTAAAAGTTCACTAATAATAAAGTCAAAAAATTCTGCTCTCCTGGGTGCAACCGTGAAGCCAGTAGTGACTCAGCTGTGACCAACAATAATGTGACAGAAGTTCAGAGACTTTTCAGCTGAACTGCAGGCTGTGTGTACATTGAGCAGACAGGTGACAAGTATAAAAAAAATCTAAGTGGTACAATGTGTATTTATGTACAGTCCTTATTTTTTCCAGTATTGATATCACATGTGTGCATCTGGATAAATGCTGCACATGTTGAGTCCATTTATTTTTTATTTTTTTGGTAAAACAGACATTTAACGTCCATTAAAAAAAAAAAAAAAAAAGATTTATGGCAACTATAAATGTGTTCTACTGCACAGAAGACATTTTTGAGTTCGCTCTAAACAACAAACAGTTGTGTTGTTTCCACAGAGGTGTAGGACTTTATATTATAGTGGAAAATCAGCTCAGAGACTGCTTGGTGTTCAGATAAACAACATCATAGTTTAAGGTATTTATAAATGTCTTGGTCCAACACTCTCCATTAGACTGTCCATTCAAAATATGTTTTTGAGGTCGATATGCAGCATATACGTGCAGCAAGGTAGGAAAACTGTTTACTTCTCAGCTACATGGGCGAAATGATTCTAAACAATATAGTTTGTAATGAAGGGAGGTAGAAGCGCACAAGGCAAACATTCCCCACACCATTCCTTTCATTTTTTCTCCCTGGAAAGCAATACAAGCTGGTTTCCTGGTTATTTCAGTCCAGCCTCTTCCAAAGAAGTTACATGTTAGCTAAGGCGTCCTGCACAAACACGACAAGATCGAGCCATTGTTCAGACCCTAAAACCGGTCAGAGGCACTTCTCCTGCGAACATACAGCAACCTTTCAGTGCTTGCAGTGATTTATTTTGCCTGTTCTCTAGCTTAGCCCTGAGTGCATACATTACCAGATCAATTTCAACTCTCTTAAAAAGACTACCACTGCTGACCGAGCAGCTGAAGATGGCTGCTTCTGGGTTCTTGCACCAATAACTGTAACATAATGCCCCAAAGTACCGCTGAGTGTGACTAAAGGAACTGAAGCCGACTGCATTTTGAGTAAGTTCTTTTGTAGTCAGCTAAATGACTAAAACGTAGAATGTACTGACTGTCTCTAGCCTCAGGGAGATCACACAGAGCTGCACCTTTAGCACTGTTGGCAAAATGCTCCCAGCTATATTTACAGTGTCCATGTCAACCAGCACTCCACAGGGATTGCTTTGATAAGAAAGCTCAGCGTGGCTTAATGTGTTTATTTCAGTCATACTGTCAGTGTAAACAACTTCTGCCATTCAAACACACTTGGAGAAACGGCAAAGGAACGGGCCTGCTGATCAGAAGAAGCACAAAGCCAAATGAGGCCTTTTTTGTGATACTGTGTTGGATTCTGAAGGGAAATTAATCTTTTGGTCTTAGTAAAGGGTTGCTAAGCGGCAGCTACGGACAGAGGAATTCTGGTTAAATCAATAAATCAAATCTGATTGTTATACACTATTTTGTAAAACCATGCACAAGATATTTCACGGTAAATCCTGGAACTGCAAGCAATGCTACAGAAGTAGAGTGCTGTGGTCACACCACAGCTGCTGTGGTTAAGCTTTATTATCTGCATACTGTAGCACTCTGAGCAGAGAAGTGTAATGCTTCTGTGTCACCAGTATAATGGACATATTCGTGCCAGTTCCCAGTGGAAGTGGGTCAGCACCAAATGTGTTTCACTTGCTTACTATTGTGCTTCAAACACATCCATATTGATCCCAACTACACAACCAGCGGGTGTGTATGATTTAAACATGCAACACTAACCAACCAATGGACTACCATACAAAAACCGGAACCAGGACACAATAACTTTGTCACAGCAGTTTACATGAAATATCTGCTTCGGAACATATCAGTGGAGTTCTGACAGACAGGAATATAAACAACAGGCCTGACAGTGAAGCGTGGCACAGTGTCACACCCGCTTTGTCTCATCAGTTTCAGCTGCCTTGACACATACGGAAAGACCTGTCAAAGTGGTTCTACTGAAACAACAATCATCTCTTTGTTTCATGTGCAAACACACTCAAGTCATGCCCACACAAAGGCATGCACAAACACAAAAATGCACCTCTAACGTCAACACCAATACATGAGCACATGCATGCATACATTTTAGCAGATGTCACAATCCGCACGTTGATATTTGTACACAGAGATCCCTTATACCAGTCACCACAATGCACAATCAGCTCTCTCTGCTCACACCTTCACCTGCTAAACGATCGTCTCATGACTCCAGCAATATTCCATCCATCCAGGCATCCGCTTTTTACTGTAGTGTCCCATCTGTTTGCTAAACAACACTTTCATCACCACATCAGCAAATTCCTCGCGGCGCAGTTCCTTCACCTCTCAATATTTGATGTGTTGCAGAGACAGCTGCTATGAAATCCTAGTCCCCAGTCCTGAGTCTGCACGGCAGATCCATAGTGTTGTAACGTATCATAGTAGCAGGTCCTGGCTAAAGCGTTGGCTGCTGGGAATATGTGAGCAATTTGCTATTGCTGCACACGCTGGCTGATGTAGCTGAGAGTCCCTGTGTTTAGTCAGCTAAATGAGCTAGCGGCTCAGGCCAGTTCTGCAGCTCCACACATTAACTTGTACAGTGCACACCAGCATCACAGAGAGAGGGAGGGTAGAGGAGAGAGAGAGAGAGAGAGAGAGAGAGAGAGAGAGAGAGGCACAGACTGAGAGAGCAGAACTGCTCTGACTGCAGAGAGGGCAGAGCTAGCATAATGTGCTCCACTTCTTAAAGCAGCATTGTTAGAAGAGGATAGGAAGATCCTGAAGTGCTTTTGAGCAGGCAGAGGCAACATGAGGGCCTTAAAAGTAAATAATTTAAAGAATGTCAGAGCAGCAAGTTCAAAAAGACCACAAATATGTGGAACAGAAAGACGTAGACTGTACAGAATATACATAAAAAATCAAAAGAGGGAGAAAAAAAAAACACAACATGCTTGACATGTAAATGTGAAACACACAACATACATACAGATAAAAAATAGAACACAGATAATACAGACATCCAAAACAGCAAGAGTTCTTGGAATAGAAAGACCACAGATAGGATGGATAGATAAAAGTAGAGCAGTTTAAACAATCAGAATAGCTACTGACAGAGCAGTATGAACTCTAACAGAACAAAACAGAACTACTGACGAGTGACACGAGGTGGAAGATGAACAGTAAGAGCAGCTGAAGGCAAACGTAGTGTCCACAGCAGCACAAACAGAAACAGCGAGCCATAAAAACAGTGTCCATCCAAACATACATTTAGCACACAAACAAATGATCCCACTGTAATTCAGCGGCATGACTTACATTCTTGAGCTTTCGACTGCAGTCACTTCCCCTGGAGAACGAGAAAAAGAGAGAGGCGTAGTGAGACACTGACTTCTGGTGCTATTCAATGAAGTGTCTTACATAAAGATAACAGCAGACAACTTTAAGACTCACCAGCTCCCACATATTCATGCAAAACAGCAGCAGAAACAAAACTTACTGAAAACATAGAGGAATTTGAAGTGACTTTAGCCCACACAAGCAGCACTAACAGACTCTACAATTCCATCGCTCTTTTCAGTTTGTTTTCTAATGATGTTTTTATGCAGCAGCTGCAGCAGTTTGATGGCTGCATTGTGACTCCAGCTTTGCAAAATAAAACTATGTAATGGAATATAGGTGTTTGTTTTTCTGGATGAAAGAGCAAGGGAGCTTTTCTACATGTGCAATGTTGAACTAAGGTTCATCACAGACATATCCCTTTTCGACAGACAGTCAGAGGAGACAGACGTCACAGTTGTGACCAAATGGTTTGAGGTGGAGGTGGAGTGCAGAAACACCGCAGCAGTGGCCACTTAGCGCCACAGATGTTGCTAAAATGAAAAAGAAGCGGATCTTGCGGATTACCACATGAGGCTATAAGTGGAAAGTGGAATGAAGCTGTTGTAACCCCAACACACACTTATGTAGTAGAAATACATACTTCTAGGCTGAGAGGGGAAGACAGAGGAGCAAGAGAGAAAAGGCTAAAACACAGACACGTACACAAAGTAGTAAGATGTAGATTTATCCATTAGTCTTAACTAAACAAAATCAACCATGTCTTTCCCGGAGCAGTGCGAGACCTGTGTAGCCTGAAAAACAGTCAAAAATTCTATCATGGACACAGACTTTGCAAACAAAGCAACATGATCCATCACACCTCAATGACAGAGAGCAACTCTCAAAAGGAAATTAAATACATAACTGCTTTTAAGGTTCTTCTATTTGTTTGTAAAGTCGTGCATTTGTTTTTCTTTTTTAAGTTAGTTTTTGGCCTTTTGGCCTTTATTGTATAGCACAATCGAAGGACAGACAGGAAAGTGGGGGAGAGGAATGGGGGAATGGGTTACAGCAAAGGGCCATGAGCGGGATTCAGACCCATGACCGCTGCATCAGAGACTATAGCCCCTGTACGTGGGTCACCAGCTCAACCAGGTGAGCTAAAGCAGTGGCCCACCTTGGTGCATTTTAAAACTTCTCTGCCTCTCCTCTACTTCCAGGACTCTTAGATCCTCAGAACAACTGCTGGTAACCACAATCCATGATGAATAAAGGAGACTGTTCATTTGCGGTAGCAGCTCAAAAGCTTCAGAATATCTTTCCTCTTTTGATTAAATGCTTCTCCTCCATTGACACTTTACAAAATCTCACGACACACTTGTTTTAAAATCACTTTTGGTTGCTTTTAGTGGTCCTAATATTTTGGTATTCTGCACTTACAAATTGCTATCCTACTTTCATTAAAAAACAAAAACAAAACAAAAAAAAATATACATATATATATATATATATATACACACACATACATATGTTTATTTAAAAACATTTATTTATTCTGTCTTGTATTTTAACTTGATTTGAAATGTTCCATTTCTTAATAAAATCCCTCAAACAACATTTTTCCAAAACCAGTGTTCTTTAAATAGAATTATAAGCAACAGTTTCCGGCCAAAGTTATTCTGCCAGAGCAGCCCTAACAGGATAAGAGAATATCAATTAATTGCTAAAATTGATAATGCATGGCCAAGAAGCCAGTGGAGAGAAGCCAAGGTGGAAGGGATATGGTTTCTCTTTGTGGTGCTGGCTTGCTCAGTTGCTGCAGCATATTGCAGGATTGGTCATCTCCAAAACATGACAGTCATCATAGCATTAAGATCTCTGATGCAAAGTTTACTTTATATGTAGAAAATATTGGTATAACACATGTTGTGTGCATAAAGGATGTAAATGTAATAATAATTTTTAAGCTTTAGCAGAAAAAGATGCCTGAAATGGGTAACAGAAGACTATATATGCTCAAGAGGTGAACATGAATTAAGACTAAATTACGCTTTTCCGAGATGAACATGCAGAGGTGTCACTCCGAGGTGATTGTGTGGCTCCTTTTTTTTTTTTTTGTATATTTCTATCGTACAGACCTGCTTCCCAAGAGAACTTAATGAACCTATCACTTTGTCTGACATGTGGATGCAGACAACGCATGTTAAGATGTGAGACGTGTGCATCAAGTGTACAATGTGCTGTTAACTACAACACTCCTGACTGCAAAGGCTCGTGGTGATGTTTACGTGTAAATTCAGACAAGTGTCATCCCAGCTTAACAAGTCCTGACTATATATATCGTAGTTCTAAGAATTTAAGTAAACACACACAAACAGATCAAGGATTTAAGACAGCCAATGAAGATGATGTACGTTGTTTAGCCAAACATGGGAATCAAACAGGACAGCGCTTCAAAAAGCTCAAACGTAACTCAAAAAAACCCACATCAATAACTACTAAATGTCATGGTCTCGTTTACTGAAATGAAAAAAATAATGTGCATTTTGCTGCCACACAGGTTTTTATGTCTGTATTCATGCATCATAGGACTGTTTATGACTAGTTTCCAAAGCCTGAGGGTCCAAGAGCCCCAACTCACTCAACACACAAGTGACACCCAAATTGCAGTTGGGTTTTCCGTGACAGTACAGACCTGAGAAACAAAGGAGTGAGAGAGGAAGGAAAAAAGCAAGGTGAAAGTAGCTGGAGGGGATGATCTACAAACTCTCCCTCTGCCTCATCATCCTCTTTCTGTCAGATGACTAAATAAACTTGAAGACAGGTTGCTTTTCTCTGCTGTTCCCTTGTAGAAGCAAAACGACAAACACAATGGATTCCACAAGGTATGAGATCATATTTAGGGGCCCGTTTAGTGTACATATACATCATATTTTACAGTTTTATTTTCTTTGTTTGTCTCTTTCAGTGTCATTATTCATGATATTATTCATACAGTATCAGTGATAAACTGAAACCTTATCCTCAAAGACATAACTTAACCCTTTTAAACTTCAAGCGGGGGTGTTTTTGCGCCTGTCACAATTGTATTTACTCTGGGCTCATTTTCCACTGCAATAGAAAGTCCTGAACCTCTCTGAAAACAGCACAACCATAGCCAAAAGGAGAGAGAACTCAAAAACGACTTGTCTGTGGTACCGCAATTAGCGCCGGCTAATGTTAAAAACTGAACTGAACGTCACACATGATGAGTTCAAAGACTGTTAGAAAGTTTAAAATCGGTCAATCCTTTCTGTTCTTACAGCTTCTGGCTCAATGGTAGTATTTCATTGACTTTTGTTGGTTGGTTTTGGGGTTCTGGGAGTTAAACACGACATAAAATAGTTGCTGGTATCTTTTTCTTTCTCTTACCAAACCATAAATGTGTAATGTTTAGCAACACCTTTAATGACACATTAAAGGAAATCACAATCTGCAATAACTGCTTTCATTGCTTGACAACACTTTTACAGGGAATGTCCAGTTTTCTATCAAAATCAGATGCAAAGAAATGCATTTGCTGAACTAATAATGCAGACTTCGAGAGACCAATTTGTTTTTCATTGTAAAAAAACTCAAACGTGGCCTAGTAATAGTCTTTTTTAATCTGCTTAAAGCAGCATCTTAGAAATGGCTCCATGTTGTCTGACGGGGACTTACATTATTACTGTTAATGTTTTCATGTGTGTTTATTTTAGATGAAAGCAATAAATATTTTCCAGTATTTGCTGACAGTATAAAATTGCAGCAGCTTAGTACAAATTGTTATTAAATTACTCGTATTTGCTGCGGTTGTTTTCAGATTTTCGTCATATTTATTTCTATGCAACTGAGGGAAACGCTCAATTTGGATTTTGGGTTTTGCAGCTTTTCCAAACTCTGTCCTCATGTTGCGAAACAGCTGAACGGAAACACAGCGTCTCTCTCTTGTACTTCCATTGACTCTACCAGGCAAACTGTCACTTATCTTGGAAACTGATCTGCTTCCTTCAACACACAGAGGAATAGGAGATATTTCAGGCCTGAGCTCATAGTGTACCGCAACCTGTCTGTCTTTACGCGTCCCTGTCCAAAGCCGCTTCCTAGATGAGTAAACACCTGTCCAAAGACTCAGGGGTGAAGCACAGAATCTGTTTCCTGCCATGGGTATAAAGGTGCAAGAAAATAGCATCCTGTACGACAGAGGGTTACATAACCACTGGAAATAGCCCAGGGCCACTTTAACAATGACAACATTTCCTTTCAGCTTCATGCTGCCTGTATATATATATTGCTCCAATTTTCTTGATAATTTTAACCTTTTAACATCCATAATAAAGGGTCCTTGAATAGAATTTTTGTCTGGATGCCAGTTGGCATACCCGAATGGAAATGTTCATAACAGAAGAATGGCAAGGTCAAAATGCACGTGTGACACAACATTTGAAACGTTTTGTACTTTCCGAAAAAGGTGTTTATAGTGCGGCTAAAATTAGCCCCAATAGGTCGCTGGTAAAACCCTAAGTGTGGAAATCATCTTTCAAAACTCAATCCACTGCCAGAAATATTACGCCGAAATGCACACTACTGTTGAGAAGTGCAAAAAATAAAAAAAAAGAACTAAAATCCTCTGCTTGAATAAACAAATTGTCCATGTAAAAATGCAACAGATGGTGCCTTGTGCTCGTAGCAGGAGGTAATCCTACAAGTTTTCTAAAAATGTAACTTGTGCTTACAGTTTCAAGTAATATGTTTCTGCATACCCAAGTCTGGACCTCCATATTAAGGTTTAAGTATTGGGTGTTGCGCACCTTTCACTTCTCAGGCCATATATGTTACACATAGTGTTATTACAACAGTACAAGCTGGAGCTGAAGATTGAGCCATTTGTTTAGGAAAGAAATATATAGAGTATCTTTGGGTTGGGGACATTTAAGGATGTCATCATGGTCTTTGGGGAAAAAAGAAACTGACAATTTAATAATAATGAAAAGAATTTACTACTGACTTTACAATCACATCCCTGCTCACTGTTCATTAGCAGCTAATGTTACGTTAGATTAGACACCATAGTAGGGCTGCACAATTATAGCCAAAATGATCATCGTTATTTTGATCAATATTAGATCATGAATATTTACCACAATTATTCCTTGATTTAAGAGACAGAACATGTTGATTACACATTTGAATAAAAAGATGACTGTTTTCATTTGGGCTACTTTCTTGATAATGTGCAAAATACAAATAAGATTTAAAATAAGGTTCATTTTCATTCAAATCAAGGCCATCCCATGGAGGCAAAATACAAAAAAACCAAAACACTTTACTTAATAAACATCTGCTAGACGCGCCCTAAACACCTTATATAAAGGTTAGTGTAGGTGTTCGTTAAGCAGCCGTGCAGCCCTGTGACCAAATATGACTTGGAAAACAGTACCAAAAAAAAAGAAGGTGTTCTAAGTCAAATTTAGCCCAGTTGAAACCTAAATGATTTTACCTGGAAGAGGTTTTTTTCAGTTAAAGGAGTTTCCTATAAGCAGAGCTGGTACTTTTAAATCGTAATATTGCAGCTGATTGTGTTTATATAATTGTGAGAAGCCAAAATCCTGATCAGAGTTAGTATTTGATTAGTTGTGCAGCTCTACAACATGGTATTTATTTTTTGCAGCAAACTGCATTGGTTTAACATAAATGTAAACATCTCACAAACAGGAGTAAACCGATAAGCATCAAAAACGACACGAGTGTCCCTGTGGCTAAACCAATGCACCAAAATATGTGCTTTTGTAAACTTATGCTCAACAAAGACTATGTAAACATTAGTGTATACAAACGAACACGTAATCACACACAGACACGTCAGGGCTTTCAGAGATTTCCTCGTCCTGACAGAACCAGTCAAGCAGCTGCTCTTGAGACCAGCTAAGATCAGCATTGTTCCCTCTCTTGCCTCATCTCCAGAAGCACCTTTCTAAAGCCTTCTGTGAATGAAACTACAGTCAGCGTGAGGACAGCGCATGCCAAACACACAGAAACACCCACACGTTTACACAAACACAAGTAGTATATTAAAAAAAATACATGCACTTGGCTTTGTTACCAAGCAACAAAGCAGGACTCATGGTTCGGTGAGTGATGCAAACCCTTGTGTTCTATTTGGACAGAGACCAGTTGTGTCCAACAGATATGCCATTGTTTCTTCATTGACACGGGCTAATACAAACTTCCATTCACTCTCATTTACTTGTTTGTGTTGCAGTGAACTACTTGATTGTCTGATGGAGCAAATGACAGAGTGAGACACAAAGAAATGGACAAGCAGCGTGACAGTCAAGCTACTAACAATTCAAGTGTGTCTCATCAGCACTCAGTCCAACCACACAGTAAAGCACAAGCTTTTCTTATGATTAAACTTCTATAATACATATAAAAGCTACAGAACAGCTCTTAAGTTTGAGGTGAAACTGTTTTGTCAGCTGTTGTTTCCGAAACCAAGGAAGTTTAACTTCAGCTTTTAGGTTGACAAGGATGATAAATCCTCAAAGAGCTTAGGAAAAAAACAAAACAAATCTGAGCATATCTACAGTTTCATGACAACTCCAAACACGGATGTGACATGACTGATAGATGCGGAACAATATGAGGAACTTGAGATAAGATAGTGAAATCCAACATTTATGCAATAAATTGTTAAGCTTAAACACAAATTAGGCCATGATTGATGTTTACTCATATATATATTGTTGCTGCTGTAACACAGTGAATCTTCCATACTGCCTCAAAGTAAGACCACACATTACAAAAACCTATCTCACAACGTTGCTTCTCGCCCCCTGTGCCTATATTTTACTCCTCTAACAAACTGGAAAATGTTTTTGCGTTCACCTGTCACAGGGCAATGCCTTTAACATCATCTTGCTTTGGAAGAGCATCACCTTTACTCTGATTTGCGGAGTAAAGCAGAAGTCTAAATCTGATTAAATAATATAAGACGGCAAGACAAAACCATTGAAGAGGGAATAAAAATGACACAAACAACAATCCTAGGCAAATAAGTGGACATATGCACATCATTCAATTAAAAAAAATAACCAAAAGCAGTCATCTAGGTCAGTTTTAGGTCCTTTTGAACTGTGTATAAAATGGAGCATATTAAAAGCATTTTAAACCACTGTTCTTCTAATATGAGGAACAAACACATGAGAAGCATCACGATAGCACAGGCTATGTTGGTTTTTGATTTCTGGACATACACATGGACAGGTAGGAGGAATGCAAGAACAAAATTTGCTTGGTTTTGATTTGGGATTTAATTACTAATTATTTACAACAATCCAATCTACTCTAAAAAGGCTGATTCCTCTCGTGTACACTCATCCTACAACCATTACTATGCTACATTTAGTGTCTTTTTAAAAACAAAACCTCTCCCGTTTAATATTTTCGGCCTCAGCTTGTTCAGATGGTGGATACTGACTTTGGAACAGAACTGAATGACGTACACCAACACACACACCCACTGAGCAGCAAGGGAACACTGAAGCTTTGAGTCTTACTTGGCAGTGGGGCGTGTCGATGTGTCCTGCAGGTCTCCTGGGTCAAACAGCTGGGATCCCTTCAGTCCCAGCTCTTCACAGCCACGCAGAAACACACTGAGGTTGTCCTGTGCAGAACACAGACACACACACACACAGTTTCGTCAGGATAAATACTAATACTGGGTGAAGACAGAAGGCGCTGTCAGGTTAACTGCTTAAGGTTTTCAACTCACACACATTGAAGACAAACACTCTCGTTCTGATTCACTTTAAATTATAACTGCAGGAAAGAAAAGAAAAACAGCAGCTTTTGATTTACCTCTCCACTTAAATACTATACACTCACATTTGTGCGACATTTCAACACTTCCCATTGGCAGAACTTCCCCAGTGTTAACCCTATCCTTATGCATGTGCAGAATCACACACAGTTAATGACAGAGAACATCAAGATCCTCTTAAATCATTGCACATAAACTCTCTGACAAAGTTTTCTGTGTCAAACAAACACATGTTGACTAAAGATGTTTCACACATGAGTCATTTTCCTGAACTGAAGAGGGTAAATTATTCTCTTTCCTGCACATAAACATGCACACACACAAACACAAACAAGCAGTCTCTGCAAAACACGAAAATCAGGATACCTGCTGCAGAGAAACGCGACACCATCAGGGTTTGTGTTCAGCTTTCGTGCATCTCCTCTCTCAGATTACCCCAACTTTCACTCTTGACCTCTTGCTTTGTCCAAGTATTTCCTGCTTCTTATTTCTTTCCCCTCATTCACCTGCTGTTCCTCGATCATTCCCGCTGCCCGTCTTTCTTTACATTTCAATCTCTCCCCATCGTCTCAGTCTTCCTCCCTCTCTCCCCTCTGCTCTCTGACAAACTCTTTGTTGGATGCAACCTGAGCCAAGCTCTCCTCTCCTGTTCCCAGGTTCTCTCTCTCTCTTTGTTTCTGTGTCTCTCTATCTTTCAGAGGGCCACAACCTAAGCCCTTCCCTCTCTTTCTCTCTCAGGGTGTCACCATTTCCTCTCCACCCGATTGTCCCAAGCACTCTCTCTCAATCTCGCTCACATGCCAAACACAAACACAATGTGCTTATATCTACAAACAATATGCACACACTTGGACAAAATGCTGTTTTAAATATATACTCATTTAAGCACTCAGACATACAATATTAGGAGCCTTATTTACATGTACACACTAGCAGGCGTATGAACACATGCATGGCCACAGACCCAAACACACACACTTGGAAACACTTGTTCTCACGATCCTTTTCCATTTCTGGCAAAACACCCCTTTAAAACCCACCCTGCAGCTTCCTGTGTTTTTGGGACAGGGCCATCTCTGCTCTCCTAGTGAGGTGACCCCACCCACAGATACACACTCACATGGCCATCCCTCTGAAAGACGACTCAGCAATCTCTTCTTCGGCCAGTTCTACATCAGGGAGGACACACCTACAGCAGGATGATCTGGCTCTCGCACACAGCTGACCACGGTCAAGTTGAACTATTTTTCTTAGATACGCTAAATGAGATATAATTCGGAACAAGTGACTCCCTTTAGGTGCAGACACCGTGCAATCAAAACTCCCAGACTTTGTCCAAGTATCTAAGTAAACAGATACAAATATGACTCAAATATGCGGTGCGTCTGTGTTTAAACTGTGTCCATAAACAAGCATAATTCAGCGACTCGCTAAAATTGGAGCTACTGGCAAATACTGGGAATGTAGAGGAAGTTTTTCACAATTTTTGATGTATGATTGACTCCATGAGTAACTGTTTTTTTTTTTTTTATATTAAAGCCTGCACAAACAAAGGCAGAGTGACAGAAAAGCAAGAGTGAGCAAAGAGTGAACACAGCAATACAGATCTTTAACAGACACTGCCTCCTCTGAAGCATAAAATATCATTTCTGAAACCAAGACACACGTGATTAATAATGATAATAGTTAGCAAAGTAAACGATATAATCACGACACTACTACGGCTGAAAAGACGAGGTCAGTTGTCAGACAGTGAAGGAATCTGACAAACATTCAATTAAAAGCTTTTTTTGAAATACCTCAGCCTTTGAAATGTGATGACTATTTTCATTTTCATTGTCTTTTTCAAATTTGAATAATATTTTTCCTGCAGAGGGACTTTAAGAAGCTGAAAGTGTAATTTAGAGCATGCACATGAAACAGAGAGCACTTGAAAAGTTAAAGCCTGGGGCAACAGGAGGTCTGGTAGTGCTGATACTTTCAGTTATTAAAGAGCAACTTCAGCTCCACCTTAAGCAGCTAAACCATTTTGTCACACATTTTTTATTCAAAGAGGGGTATTTCATTCAACAGCGGATGATTAAAACTGCTTACCTTGCAGCAACTTGCAAATAGCAAAACGGAACATTTATCAGGTGTTTAAAGGGAATACGAGTGCGAGTTTCTGAGGAAGGGAGCACCACTTTGTGGTGATCTGCAGATCACTGCCACAGGAAACCGGGCGTCTACCGCAAAGAAGTGATTGACAGCTGAATGTGTTTGCAGAAGGATTGGGAGGTAGCAGGGTGACTCACACACAGAGCTTCTATCCACTCTGATCCCCCAAGTCATAATAAATTCAGGTAAAAGACATCAAAATATCAACACTGTTAGAATAAAATTAGAAATCCATGTAATTTTATTTTCCAACCAAATCTTGACACAAAGCTTAAAGTGAAAAGAAAAAATAACAAAAAGTACCAGATCACTGACAGGAACACATTCCAAGATCCAGTAAAACTGAGTGTGAATGTGACTAGATTAGTTCTGAGTGTTTCTACACTACATGAGACCAAAAAAAGAGCATGAACGCCTTTGAAGTCAAGCCCCATTGTAAATAATATCTGATCAATATCACAATTGGAACACCAGGTTTCTCAGGGACAGGATCAGAGTTCACCATCTGATGTTGGACCATAACGAGCTTCACAGGAGAGCTGGTAACAAAATATGTTCTGGTGTGTGACAGATGTTCATCTGTACCATTGACAATAACCACTGACGTGGGTATGCATGCAGCAAGCCATCAATAAAGGTAAACGTCAGCAACAAATAAACAAAGTCTTGACTTTTTGTGTTGGAGAGTAATTCTGGTGGTTGATAACAGCTACTGCAGAGGTGATATAACTAATGCAGTGTATTTTAAAGCTAAAGAGATTACAGGCACAACTATGCAGATATTCATGAACTGAATTATGTTAAGCAGCAAAGCTAGTTGCCGCTATAATATAAATAAAAATAAAGATGCTTCGACTTAACTAATGTTTGTATTTAACATCTATTCATCATTTGTACAACTCTGCAGGGTCGCGGGGGAGCTGGAGCCTCTCCCAGCTGACTTAGGGCAAAGGAAGGGGACATCCTGGACAGGTCGTCCGTCCATCAAGGGGCCACACAGCGAGACAGAGAACCAAGCACACTCACACCTACGGACAATTTAGCATGTCTTTGGACTGTGAGAGAAGGCCAGAGCACACAGTGAGTACCAAGGCCGGGAAGCAAACCAAAGAACCTCTAAGTTGTGAGGCCACAGTGCTAACCACCACTCCACCGTGCCGCCCCAGCATTTAACATGACTTGGTGACTTGGCACAGTTAGGCTGCATGAAAGCATTTCTGTTTAGTTACCATGGATTGGTAACAAAAACATGCTGTACCAAAAGACAATTGAGAGCAGGTACAAATCAGGCTACTTTTGCTAGCATCTGATATTAAACCAACTAGAAAATTAACCTTATTTTTTCCAACATGCTTTCAGTACAGAGAAAATTTTGAGTTGATTCACTGCGTTTTGAACAAGGATGGGATTATCTCAACAAACTAACAGACAAGTCTCGAAACTGACAAACAGTGAACATCAATGAAATGGGAATTTAAGGGGTTTTATGCAACAATCTGAAGTGTTGTTTGCAACATTTGCGTCACTAAAAATGTCTGATGCCATAAACTTCCTGTCTGGAAAACAACACCTTTTAAAGCATGTGAATTACTACTATTCATCTTGCAGGGAGATCTCCACTGCGTGTCTGTTTACACACTGTAAAACATGAGCATACCAGCCGACCCAGAGACGGCTGGGAACACGGCGCGCCACAACCAACCTGTTCAGAAGAACACTGAGCCATACAGGCCGAGCTGCCAAAGCACTGAGGTAGCTGCTCTAATTACAAAACAGTCTAACCTCCACAGAGACTCATTTTCCCATTAGCCCCCCAAACAGGAAGAGGAAGGGGGAGTAGGCTGTGTTTTATTACGATGGGCCAGATAACAGCAGACCCCTTGTTTATGTGTTTCTCACCTCTATAATCACAGCCAAGAGGAAGAAAAAAAAATCCCCAAAAAGCCACAGGGACTTAAACAGAATTATGAAACTTTGAAAGTATAAAGGATCACATTGTTCAGATTAAAAAAATACACCCAAAAGGTATCATTTTCTATCATTTTTCTTCAAACTACTCATGTAAATATGCTGGCCATGCCATGTTTTTTGCCCTGTAATTGTAGTGCCTAATTTTAGGGCTAAATTTTAATATTGTTGTTACATAACTGATTTGGATGTTATCAGTCCATTAAATTGCTGTTGTCACTGCACAACATTCCCAAATATATGGGCCAACAGGGACCTCCTCCAACTTCTACTAGGCCAGAAGGCACATTATCATTTATTCTGATCATGGACAAACAGAAAGTAACCCTGATCATGTGGGCGATCGCTTGTAGTCATGCGAGAAAGTGCAATTAAAATCTCCAGTGGTAAACGTAGCAACCAGGTGTATTTTAACCCATAACATCCTTTTTTTTTTAGACCTAACCAAGTAGTTTTGGTGCCTAAACTTAACTAAACATTGACTGGAAACACAAGCAAACCGGAAAAATAAAAGTCAAAAACAACAAATAAGTGAAAAGTGTTAGATTTTGTTACGCTATGTAAGTGCTGCATCACCATCAGAAAAGCTTTCAAATTCAAAACGACATGGCTGTCAACTTTGTTAAAATAGACAGAAGCAACTACAGTACAAAGCTGGAACAGAACTGAAAATCTACATTTATGCACTAGCACCATGCTGACATAATGCCAAAATAGAGTAAGCACAGAAGTTGTTGGGCTTTAAAGCACTAACAGGAAAATCAATTGTTTCTTCTAGCAGACTATGAGGTGGAAAACAGGCTTTGAAGAATGTGTGCAATTATCCACCACTTGAAAAAAAAAAAAAAAAAAACAGAGAAGGGGCACTGGCAGCCATTAGAGACACCATGAGATAAGAAAAGATATTTCAGCCCAACTTAGACGTCCTTGTCTGGTCTGTCTTGTTGGGTTCCAATTGCAATTTATTTTTTGTAAGTATCAAAACTTCTGTCCTAGTTACTCGTATCCCACTAGAGCACCATCATCACATTTTTAAGTCTCTTTATCTATCTGCCATTACTGATTATAAGGATTTGTTGAAAGCAACCATTACTTAAAGTTGCATTAGTGTGATTAAATACATAAATCATCCTCTGAGTATTTTTTTTCCCCAAATCACAGCAATGGGAGATACTGTATAGTTAATATACCATAATTTCCGGACTATAAGCCCCTACTTTTTACACACACTTTGAACACTGTGACTTAAACAATGACGCGGCTAATTTAAGGATTTGTATGAGTTTTACGAATTTGCCTCGAGACAAAAGTGACATTGAGAGCGACAACGAAAGAGACTGAGGAAGTGTGTGATGAAGCCATTCTGAGGCTGTTCAATTCCGACCCTGAAGAAGACGACTTTGGTGGTTTTAGTGAGCAGGAGGAAGATGAAGATATTGATCAGTGACTTTTCCTGGTGGGCTACTGTATTTTAAATTTTTTTAACCAGGCGTGTTACAGCCACTGTTTAGGAGAAAAGCACTCATGGTACGTATTTGTGTTTGTTACTGGTACATATTTAATTAAAAGTTTAAAACATCTTTCTGTGTAAATATCTCATGTTACAACGTGGACACCTGCAGCTTATGGACAAGTGCGACCTGTATATGTACAAAGCTTGTTTTCTTTTTAAAGTTAGTGGGTGCAGCTTATATTCAGCGCTCAATAGTCTGGAAATTACAGTAAATGATGTAATATTCACAATGAAACAGTAAAGGGATTTTCTTGTAAGCATGCTGTAAAGTGCATTGTGGTACTAAAGTCACAGAGGCATTAAGCCATGTTTGTCTCCCGGTACTGATTCCAATATGTTAACAGGGTATGTGGCTAGAATATTGACAGTACTGACCCAATAGCAGTGCTCTGAAATGTAAAATTGGTGTACTCTACTGTGTGCAAAACACTGAGATCATTACTATGCAAGGTAACATAAAGCAAGAGATTGCTGTCGAGGTGAAGTCTGAATCAACAACCAGCTATGACTGAATTTAAAAAACATGCTCCAGTGAAAATCAAGTTTTTGATCGTCTGAGGAAACACACTGGAGAGAAAATCAGAGAGGAAAAAAGATACATTTAGCATGAGCTCCAATGCTATCGGCTTTCACTATGCCTCTGTTTATATGTGAGTATGGTCCTGAAAGGCCACTTCATCCAGATCAAGGATCTTAGGTCGCTATGAAAGAGCTCTACTGTATTGCACTGTACTCAACTGAAATGTATCAGCGCTCGGATCTGCTTCAACTCACAGGCTCGCATTCAAAGCAAAACACAAACTTAAGGTTCTTCAATAAAATCAAAGACAACAAAGGACAATGCTTATTTCAGGTTTCAGGAACAGAAAGTAGTTTCAATATGCTTTTAGGATGTAAATGTTTTTTTTCTTATGGTTTTAGTGCAACTGACGTAAAGTTAAAGAAATACAGAGAGAGTCGATTACGTTGGAACATTTGCTATCCTCCAACAGATTGTTCATGTTGATGCTGTGAAAAAGCATATTTCACAGTGATCTGGCTCACTGCAGAACTGTCTTAGTGTACAATAAATGAGCCCCTAAAGGCTCAGTGTCACACTCTGCTGCTGACAGAAACCTTGGCAGCAGGAACTGAAACTAAGATCTTTCAGCTGCAGGTATCTGTAATCAAACCCTGATTACACACCCAGTAGCTCAACATGTTAGGTCTGTCAAAACCTCTAAATCTACATCATTATTGACAGTTCATAGCTTCAGCTGTTGCTGAAATTGTTCAATTGTAACAAGAACTAAACACCACACTGGCATGGATTTAAAAACTATTAACTACAATGGGAAAGCTTTGATGTTGCCTGTTTTTGCAGACCCTCAGTTACTAAAGTGCAGGTTAGATGGAAATTTCCTACTATTAGCTTTGACCAAGACAAAAAGGATACGTTTATATAGCCATTTAACACCATAATCTCAAATTACAAAGCACGTGACTGCTATACAAGCCCTACAATATCACAATGCAACTATGTCATGTCACATATCCTACAAGTTACAGCAAGTTTTTAACATCACACAGCCTTGACTATCTCGAGAGAGGGAAACACGCTGGTTGAAAAAGAAAGGGAAAGATAAGATGCAAGCGTCAAGCAATGTGACAAAGCAAGTTATAGCGAGGAAAGAACGATGAAGCTCAACAGGGTTGTCCGAAGTTTTAGCTAAAATCCTGTAAATACGAGTGCACAGGATGAAGGTAAAGGACTTACCAGGCCAGCTATGGGTGTTGGAAGTCTGTTAATTTTCTTCACCAGGCTGGGTTTGATTGAGCTTAGCAACCTGACAAAAGACACAAAGGAGAAAGAAAACATCAAAAGCTAAATTTTAATAAAAAAGAAAGAAAAAGAAAAGAAAAGCAGAGTCATGCCTTTAAAACTTGTCTTAGTGACAAGATGAGATGAGTATTTCAAAGCAAAGTTGAAACCCAGCACCAGCAGAAAGTAACTGCAGGCTAAAGAGAAATCGTGTGTGAAACTGTGTCTCTCTTCAGAGAAAATATGAGGAACAAAAAAGGATAAAGAAACAGTTTTGAAAGTCCCACAGTGGCGCCTGACTGTTCTGCTGTATAACGACACCAATCTAAATGTCGAATCAGCGCTGCTCCTTTCGCCCACTGGGAACTTGTTCCAGTACATTTTATGTCACAGCAAACCATATATGCGATCAGTTATATTATTCTGCTGTCATCCCTCATAACCACACTGTGTTCCTACATACTGTCAGTCATGAACAAGCAGTTTTGGAGTTCCCGCCTCTCCCTCTCTTCCTCTCTCCGTCTCCCGTTTCATCTTTTGTGAGTGTTTTCATCAGAGGAAGCACTGTAATGATTCTGCCCTGTATAGGAAAATCCCACCCTTGGATACGCGGTATTAGATATCAGCAGTCCTGTGATGTCTGTGGCATTCCAGCAGTTACTTTGAGATGAAGTACTGTAATTTACCTTTCTAGTGAACTTTCTTTCCCCCAGCCTGCTTCATGTACTCCTACTTCAGTTAGAGATTTCCTGGTGTACTGTATATTTCCAAGAATAACTTTGAATAACCCCAGGAGACGGGTGTTCTTGGTGCTACATGCACTATGTGTAGGTGGGGAGAGTGAGCAATGGCAACAGTGAAGATAATATTTCCACTCTTGAAAAATTGCCTGGAATGAGAATAATGTTTGTCTGCTTTCCTTTTATTATTTATTAATGACCAAAAAAAGTTTAGAATATCTTCTGAAATGGATTTATCTCTGAATGTTTGCCGAGCATCTGTACAGAGGTGGCTTTGTTTACAAAGATATTCTATGAAAAAATGGCTTTCATGTCCCACTGTAGCTGATGGAATAAATGCCAGTTATCTGATATGTGGCCATTCTGTGTTCACTGAAGACTGACAGTTCAAACTGGTCACAGCATTGGGAGGAAGTGTTAAAGACCTTCTAAGCAAGAGTGCTTTCCTGCATTAGAAAACACAGGAACACTCAAAGCAAACATAGTAAAAGTGACATAAAAAGATTATCTTGAGTGTGTACAGGGACGTTTTCTAGTGTATCAGGAAAAAGGACGATGTCAGAGAGTCTTTTACTAGTGGAAATAGTGAGATTTAAAACAAGCTTAAAAATACATTACTTGCCTAAACACTTCTCAGGTGTTGGGAAAAGAAGACATACTTCATAGCAATAGTGTTTTATAGACTGCGCAAAGACTCAGTCATTTCCCTAGTGGATGATGTGGTGTTTTTTTTTTTTTTTTGTTTTGTTTTCTTGTTATTACTAAAATGAAGAAAATCGAGCAGATGTAACTCAAGGTGGTCTAGGGCTACAGAATGACACTTACATACTGTATAGCAGTGGCCAATCTGGCCAAACATTCATTTGACAATCTTTTTGGGCAGATTGATGATCGACAATCTGAATCTGAAAACACTTCCTCCTAAACATTTAATTGAACTTGACGCGGCAACTTAGTGGACATGACTAGTTGTGCAAAAAGTTGCCTGTCATTTCAACTCTTATCAACTTAAGTCCAAATTTAAAAATCTCTAAATCCTATTTTCACTCTGATTTTACAGTGAAACATCCGTCCAGAGCTGGCAGTTTGTATCTCCACCACTTATTTTAGGATGTTGGTCTGGATCATACTATTCTTTGTCTGCCATGCTGTCTTTTGTTTAAAAAATAATTAAACCTCTAAGACGCGTAAAGTGTCCAATGACCATCGCCCCCATTGTGTCACAATCAATCACATGCTGAGTCCATATGGAGTAGCACATTTTGCACACTGTTGTTAATATAAGTAAACTATTTATCTGACCTGCTAAGCAAAATAATCTGTACTATCCCCCTAAAAAACAGATCAGGTAGCAAAATAAGAACGTCCACATTCAAAACAGAAAAAGCTGATAGTCTTGACATTGCAAACGGTGGAAGCAGAGACTGTTGAATTCTTAATTGTAATTCTTACTAACTGATCAAATTAAATAAAAGCTGTTGATGATTAAAACTATGCAAGCCTGGGCTTTTCATCTCTGAGTGAGTTAATCTCCTTGAGATAAAGCTGGTCAGTATTATTTCCTTTGTGAATTACATATTTAGGATATAATGCTGTGATTTTCTGGCCCTGCTGTACCTTAAGGTATTCCATAATATTAAAAAATTCCAAAGCCAGTGGGGACACTGCTAAATTGGTTTTGATGTCTGTATTCACAATAAAGACAGTATAAACACACTGGGATTGTGTAACTGACATTAGCAACACAGGAATGTAGAAGAGAGAAAGTACAAGTGTATGTGTGTGGTTTCAGTCTCATTTCAGCACTGCTGCTCATTATGAGTGGGTCGACAAGAGTTCAAGTGTCAAACTGGAGGACAATTTAGCAGGACGTTAGTCTCTCTGATCACTGGACCAGAGTGTTGTGAACAAATCAGTGCAGTGCTTGTCTGCTGATGTTCTTCCTGGTCATTTTTAACACTGTGTGGTTATTTTAGGTTCACATTCTAACTTGGTTTTCCTCTTCTAACTTTATATGTACATATTCAGGTAATACAAGAAATACCAACAAAAAAAATTTACTGTGACACTTACTGTGGAAAACAATATAATTTCAATGACTTAAGAACAATATAGAGTCAAATTGAAAGAGCCTGTAGTTTAGAATTAGACATTTTAGGCATACAAAGAATGTGACTTTGGTTTCTAGTCACTCTCAGTGTACTTACATGCAGTTGTACAAATCAGGCTCAAGAGAAGCAAACAAATAACTTATGTGCAGCTCTTTTGTGCCAAGAGCATGAGAACAACAATATTAAAAGCACAAAAGACCTATAGTTGGAAATGTCATTACTGTTTAGATGGTAAGATAAAAAAAACACAAATGCAGTCACAACTTACTCGCACAGAAGAATCCCGTTCTCCAAACCTCCTCTGAAATCCTTGTCACCAAAACATCTTCCCGTCGCAGCCTACAGATTGGACGAAAGGAGTGAGTTAGCAAAATAGAACAGCAAGACTGCTTCAGATCAAAAACACAAGATCAAACAGTCATTTTACGTTCTGGATCCTAAGTCTAGACACACAGCCTCCACCTCTGGAAACCAAGAAACAAGTGCACCAACCTTTATCAACACCCCTCTCACGTCTTTCCTTCACAATAAATTCTGGGAATTGTATGGCGAGGTGCACAAAGAGTAGCCGGCCGTATATCAAGTCCCTCTCTGGTTAACAGCGCTAAACGCTAACAAGCTTGACATAAGCTGCAATCATCCCAAGCAAACGGCTCTGGCAGGCTAATGTGTTGTGACAGGGGATTTATCGGGTAATAGTTGCTCAGACCCTCTGAGGAGGAGAAGCTGCCCGTTTGTATGCACTTGCATGACAATTCCTGGGCAAATACTACAACACACATGAATGCTTCTTATTTGTTGTGGATTGTGTTATTTCGTTTAGTGTGTGTGATTTTCATTGGTTGGTCTGTGTGTATGTAATATGTAGGTCTTTCTTGCAGAATAAATCTTGATCTCAATGATACTTCCCAAATAAACAGGGGTTAATATTTAAGAACACAAACTCTTAGGCAGCAAACCTACACATGTTCCAAAAATGTGTGAGGTTCAGCTACAGCAAAGTTTATCCAACTGAGGCCAAATTGCTGTTTTCTACTTGTGACAACAACCTTCAGCTTAAGTTTCCACCTTTCACTTCAGTGAAAGGTTATGTTAGTGAACGGGACAGCTCCTAAACACATCTGACGTCCCACACAAACATCTTAAGAAAAAAAAAAAAACACCAACAGTGAAATAAATTGCCTCCTACCTCCTGAAAACCAGCTATTGCAAGACTTTTAGAACCAAGCCCACTTAAAACCCATTTATTCTCACTAACACTGGCAGACAGTCGGCCATAAAAAAAAAAAAAGAGGACCCCTTCAGACTGCTGGTTTGGAAGCCAAAACAATTACAAGATTAAATTTCCTGAGAGTTTCGTTCACATTTATTTGCACAGCTGTGGAAAAAAAACTCTGAAGATGTAGAGTATTTGGCCTGGCTGTGTGTTTCTGTCGGCTTCTTGGCTCACTGGGGAGCCTGGACCTGTTACAAAAGAAATGGACTGCTGTATGTCAACGAGCAGGCCGACAGTAGGCCTCATTTCTGTGAGAAGTGTCATGTTTGGTGTTCGGGAGACATACGTAAAGAAACAAAAAAGAAAGTGGCACAGACTTTCTCTGTATGCTGACATTTTGCTATTCACTGCCACTATTCCCCTCTGTGGCAACACTTGTGAACAAGGCATTGTGTGTCTGGTGTTGACAGCACAAAAGCAATGACTGAACCCTGAGCGTGGAGGCCTAAAAGTCTGCCTTACAGTGCAAACATATGGTCCACAAACCCACATCAATGATCACTGCAAGAGTCCTGCTCTGCACAAAGACATAATATTTATTGAATTAAACATCAATGAGCTGAACCAGTGGTAAACTACATTGCTAAACGTGAAAAATGAAAATATATATGCATAAAAATGTATTTTCCAGTTTATTGATGTCCTCTAAAACACAACAGGCTAGTTTGTCTTCTGTCTGATGGTAACCTGCAGAACCTCTAAAGCACCACTGAGAGTGTAATTATGTTATTAGTGTAGCTAAACATATAGATTTTTTCAATATGTATAATATTCTAAATACCACATCGCGCTCTCTCTTTTCTCTGACAGTGAGTTGACACACATAGAGGTGCTGACATCCTTAAGACATCGTCCCTCCTCCCACAGTGCCGTTTTCTTCTCATCACTTATTTCATGAGCTCCGGTTCGAATAGCATTTTGTTATAGTCTCAGAAAGATGTCAAGTGCAGAGATTCCATGATTAGTTTTGGTAGATAAAGGAAAAAAGCAGAAGGGTTGTCTGGATGTATTCTGGATTTGAGGCAAATGAACAAGGACAGGCAATATGCAAGCATGGCTTCAGAGCAGTGTCAAGAAAACACTACTGAATACTTTATTGCCTTTTGAATGTCTGAATCTTATGCCCCTTTCCCACCAAGAAGCACCAGGTGCTAGTGCCGTGGTGGTGCTAGGGCCAGTGCTTAGCTGGTTCCAATCTAAGAACCGGCTGCTTTTCTATCGGCAAGGAGCCAAGTTAGGGCCACGCCATACGTCACTGCATACGTAGCCGTTTACTGAACAACGCTCACGCCACACGGAAGTCCACACAGGACTCCAGACTAACGTTTTTAAGTTATAAAAGTACTGTTTTCCACCCTGTGGTGCTGCTGGCGGGACACAGTTGTACCAGTTTGTGTAAAACTTCAGTATGTCCCTGGATTCATTCCAATACTATTTGTGATTGGACCAGGGACGTCCTGGCGAAAAACGACACAAATCACCCCTTGTGTGTCCCACTCATTCATCGGTCTCGGTGGTCACGATAACCCCGCCCCCAGATCCTGGCGTACTCGGTGCGTAGCTCTGGCCCAGTAAAGAGTTGGTGCTTGCTAAGCACCAGTTTTGAGAGCCTGGAGCCGGTGCTTATGCGGTGGAAACACCAAGAACTGGTGCTAAGTCAGGCACTGGCACAGAACGAGCCCTGGAACCAGTTTGGTGGAAAAGGGGTATTAGAGGCTTTAAAGCAAGTGCATCAGCTCAAGAAGTCTTTATTCATCTAAAAATATGTCTCATCATGTTATAGACTTATAATTTGTATCTTTGATTAATATGCACAACAAAAAGCAGAAAAAGATCATTTGTAGCGCTATGGGTAGTTACAGGCATTTCTTGGCTGAATGAGTGAGTCATGTCAACACCTTGAGGTCACCAGGAAACAGACTCCGGACAGCCATGGCATCATTTTCACACTTTTTGTGTCGACTACAAAAATTTAAAAACTGATATAGTCTTCACATGGATTTGTGACCTTTGAAAAGAGCCAGGCTATAGTTTTCCTCCTGTTTGGGTATTTATGCTCAGTTAAGCCAGTTGGCTGCTGTGTCTAGCTTCGTTGAATGGACAGACATGAGACAATGTTCAGGCTACTGCAAAAATATCCCAGATTGTCTGTTTCTTTCAAAATCTCTAGACGAGTGGAGCTGGTGCTGTCTGAAAAGCTTAGACAGACCAGTTAACACAGGTACTATGTCACTGGACAACATTTTCTCTGTTGACAGGCCAGAGCAGTAGCATTCATGGTAATTATCTTCCTCCTCTCTGATGACTTGCCTTTTCCGCTGGGCTTCAGGGTAAAGTTACCTCGCCAGAAAAATTTCTTTGGCTCTGCCTGCTGAGGTTTAACTTGATCAATGAGATTAAATCTGTCTCCAAAACTGCAACAAAGAATTTATTTGTGAAACACAAAGTGCATTCTTTTGTGTGCAACTTTATGACTAGGGGAGAGCAGACTGTAGATCCCACTATTAATAACATTTTTCATCAACTTTATACACTCAAGAATGACATTCCCACATCTTACGTTACACAATAACACACTGCAGGCCTGCACAACAGAGAACAACCTTCCCAGGTGGTCAGTGTAAGTGAATAGCAATCCCAGGTTTAAAACATTAAACAACAGCATCCCCTGGTTTGGTTTAAGAGAGCAACATTTCACAGTGCTGATCTTAGTAAAGATTCAGTGGCCCAGATACTTTAATAACCGCAGTTTAAAAAAAACTATAACTGAATAGATGGCCTTGATTTAGGAGCTCCTTAATAAATGTGTCAGTCGAATGTTAGTACTGTCCTTGCTAAAATGGGTGAGCTTTTACTGTTTTCACATGCAGAACTTATTCAGAACCCCCTCATCATACGGCGAATACGGTCACAGCAGAAAATCCTAGAAAGCTGGGGCGGACTCTGCATGCTCCAAGTTGCAGAACAACTAGCTTAGCTCTTCACCAACCTTGTCAATGAGTTTGAGTGCAACAAGAGATTATAGTGTCACTTCACCTTTCCAAGGACAGATTACAGTGTCACCACCTTTACAAAGATCAGCCTGCACTGTGTGGACAGTGACTCTGCGGGAAACATGGGAAACAGAGTAAAACGCTTGCTATTATCGTAATGAAAGACTCGAAATGGAAAATGTCCTTGTGCAGATAAATGAAGCTTATAATTTGCCAACAGGTGGTATTATAGGGTTCCAATTGAAAACACAGAAATTGCTCATACTCATGATTTCATGAGAAAAAGACATGACAAAACATAAAAATCTGTAGATGTATTTGGAACATTTTTTTTTCCATATCCAATAAATCCCATATGTCATTTCATTAGCCTCTCGTGGGCTCAAACCCATGGGTGGAAACCAGCCTCAGAGGTTACGTCAATTAATATTCTGTCCTTTGGGGTTCATGCACATTATCATAAATTACATATTTCTCTTCTGGCAAGGTCTGAGCTGTAGAGAATAGCAGGGATTCGGTTTTCTCATCATCTTGCTGTTCTGTTTGGCAGCGACTGCAGAGCGACTAAGGACCTTGATTCATGTCCATTTGAGGCTCTCATAAGTGTCGTCCTGCGCTGAAGAGCACATGAAACTCCTGTCTGGCCAGAGGGATCGCTTACTTTGAGAGAAAGCTCATTTGGGAAACACAACATTGAACGGACAGATTTTTCTATTAGCAAATTTTGTGTGGAAGGGAAACACAGAGTAATAAAATAAGCATTGACCAGGCCCTGAAGCACTCAAGGTTAACTTATCACAAGGGGCTAATTGACTGCTAGGCTTTTGCATCTCAGCAGAGAGAAGCACCTTGCTGACTAATAAAACAACTCTTGAGTGGTACACAGAAAAATATGAAAAGTCATTCAAAGTGGCCATTAAACACGTAATCAAAAAGCAATCATCTTCAGATCTAGTAACGGAAGCGATAAAATACCAAAAGAAGAACACCCAGACTATTCTCTGATAACAAAACCTAATGTTCAAATAGGAAAATGAAGATAAGTCCATGACAAATGCGATGCTGCAAGC